ATGTCTTGGTTTGACTAAAAGTCTTCGACTTGGATCTGACGGCTGACCCGGCCCAGCTTTATTCACAGCACGAACTCTAAACTCATATTCTTCACCTTCTTTAAGCCCCTTTATTGTTGCACTTGGTGTTGGTCCACCTTTAGAGAATAGTGATAAAATTAGGGGATATAAATAATCCAAATTTCTCACCAACACGTGCACATTCCTTCCAATCTCTATCATGCTTACTCTTTTTCTCAACAATATAATCTTCAATTGGAGCGCCTCCATCGTGAGTTGGTGGATCCCACGCTAATTGAGCACTTTTCTCGTCCCAATCAACTTTGAAAATTGAAGAGATAAAGCTAACAGAAAATCAAAAATTCTTACCAATATCTGGGGCTCCACATTTTCCTGGGATATCGTAAGGATTTTTGGCTATTATTGACTGATCCCCAACTAGAGGTTCTGATTGTCCTTCTTTATTTACTGCTTTTACTCTAAATTGGTATTGTTTTCCCTTTTGAAGACCCTTTACATCTGCCTTGCAATCTTTAACTTTTGCACAGGGAGTCCAACGGCCAGTATCAGCATCAAGTTTCTCGACCTCATAGTATTCTATAGGCTCTCCTCCATCTTAAAAAAGTACTTGTAATTTATAATGAAGAAAATATAATAGAATATAATTTCTATCTTATCACTTGCTCAATGACACACAGATTCGGAATAATTTGAGGGAAAACTTGGAGATCCGGGATAATTTGGAGATTGTGATATAGATTTATGAAACTCGGATAGCACCGAGACTCTGTTCCAATAAAATTTCTCTACAGACACTCACCATCCTCTGGAGGTTTCCATTCCAAACTACATCCTTCTTCTGTCACATTACTCACGTCCAATGGCCCTCTAGGCTTTCCAGGTTTATCCAAAACAGTTAAATCAGCCTCAGCCGAATCTTCTCCAGTTTTATTTTTTACTTTTAATGCATATCTTCCTCTATCGGCACGAACTGCTGCGGGAATGCAAAGAATTGTGTGATCATTCTTTTTAACATCAATTTGGATAGCGCCGCTTTGATCAGTTATTGGTTGCCCATTTTTAGACCAAAAAACATCTGGGGCAGGTTTTCCATTGAACTAAAGGTTTGTAATTTTATAAATTTCGGTGATAAGATAACACCTTGACAGTCCATTTAGCTGTCTGACCCGCACGAACTACCAAATTCTTCATTCCATCGTGGTCAAGCCAAGCAGGAACTTAAAATTTCATTTATTCAAAGAAATAAAAATAAAATCCAACCAAATTTAGGCTGCACCAAAACTTTTTCACAAGGCTCGCTAGGCTGACCAGGTCCAGCTTTATTAACAGCCTTTACTCTAAATTGATATTCTTTTCCAGTTTCAAGTCCTTTAACTGTTGCTTCAGGCTTTTCAGAAGTTGCTACTTCAACCCAATCTTTACTTTTTGGATCTCTCATTTCCACAACATATTTCTCTATTGGAGCACCCCCATCTTTCATTGGAGGATCCCATTTGAGAGATACTTTGTCCGCATCGACATCTGTGACTTGAGGTCTTCCTGGCTTTCCAGGTTCTTCCCAAGGATCTTTAATTTGATAATGCTTGTCTGTTCCTAATGGCTCTGATTCTCCTTCTTTATTTACTGCCTTCACACGGAATTTGTAATTTCCTTTGTCTTTGAGTCCTTTAACTTTTAGCTTAGTTTCGCCAGGACCACATTTGCCAACTGGTACGAATTTGCTGCCGCCGTCTACGTCCTTTTTAAATTTATATATGTATATTTAAACATAAAATCTTTTTGTTTAGGGACAATATCAAATTTTTAAATCAATTCCAAGCCTTCTGGCTAAATTAAGAGGAGAATGAGGATAGACCTGGTAAATTCTTTAGTATTATGATGATTTAGAAGCAAAATAAATTCAGTTGTCCATTTTAATAATTATTATTTTCACTTAATTTCAAGGATAAAATACTTGCCTGTGCCTCGACAATATAACCAGTTAAAGGTTCACCACCATCATCTAAAGGTGGTTTCCATTCCAAAGTAGCCCCATCTTTGCAAATATCGCTAACTTCTAAAGGTCCCTGTGGAGGATCTGGCCTCCCAACAACGGTAACATTAGCTTCAGATTGTGCCTCTCCACTTTTATTTTTTAATTTTATACAAAATTTCCCAGAATCTGAGCGTTGTGCATCTTCTATTTTAAGAACAGTTTTGCCCTTTTCTGTGCTGATTTTGACGCGTCCACCAGCCTTCAAAGGCTTTCCATTAACTGTCCAGCTCACTTCGGGTAATGGAGCTCCAGAAATTCCGACTTCATATTTAATTGTTTCGCCAACGTGAAGGCGTTGATCTTGAATGCCTCCAGATGTGAATTCAGGAGATGCTGAATAAAAAATTATTTTTAGTTAAGTTCGAATTAATTTTAAGTGAAGAGAGGAAATAATTTTCCCTACTGATGAGTAAAACTTATCGAAAATTTACCTGGTTTTGCGGCAATCTTGAAAGGCTTTCCATGATCACACGGATCACCTGGCCCAGCTTTATTAACAGCACGAACACGATAATAATATTCTTTTCCTTCAACTACTTTGTCATCAACCATTTGATGTTTTCCTGCTCCCTGAGCTGGAATTTCATCAAGTTTAGCCCAATCCTTGTCAGATTTATCACGACGTTCAATAATGTAAGATTCAATTGGGGCACCTCCATCAGAATCTGGTGGATCCCATTGAAGAGTTAGAGAGTTGGCATCAATATCGGCTGCTTGCATGTTTTTAGGTTTACCGGGAACCTAGAAATTTGATAAAAGAATGAGTAAACGATATATTAAAGGAAAGATCCCTTCAATTTTTCTAGTTTATCAAATGGATATTAATTTCCAAATATTAATATTATGACCCAAAAATTTGGAAATCAACTATTCTTTTATTATATTGATATTTCTTTCTCACGCTCTACATACCGTATAAGGGTTTTTAGCAAGTATTGTCTCTCCAACTAACGGATCAGATTCTCCAATTTCATTAAATGCTTTAATTCTAAATTTATATTCTCCATGTTCTTTCAATCCATTAACAGGAAATTCAGTTCCTTTAGTTTCTCCAATTTTCTTCCAAGGGCCTCCACGTCCATCTTGCATTTCAACAATGTATCCCCGTGTTGGTGCTGCTTCATCTGGATCTGCCGGTTTCCATTTTAATTTACAACTTTCTGCAGTAACATCAGTGGTTTCTAAAGGCCCTTTAGGCACTTTAGGTTTGTCTCTGACGAATAAATCAAATGGAGCTAAAGCAGATTCCCCAGCAGTATTTTCAAGTTTTAATGCCCATTTTCCAGTGTCCCCCTTTTGAGGGTTTTTGAAGATAATTTCAGCTACATCTCCATTAATTACAACCTTAAATTAAATTACATCATAATTGAATGAATATGTATATTCTTTACCTCAATCAAATCTTTCATTTTATCCAAATCTACAGGCTTTCCATTCTTTAAAAGTATCGGCTTTGGATCTCCTCTTCTTGTGCCTTTTACTTGAAAGGGTACTTTTATTTTCTTCTCTTTTCCAGCTTCACACTCGATTTTTTGGGGTTTCCAATTAATTACTGGCTTTCTTTCAGCTTCTAAAACCGTAACTTTGCAAGAACCTTTAAGACCAGCTACGTCAATCTCGTAACGATCAGCTTCATTCTAAAAGTAGTAAATTTTAATATCAAAACTATTTTTTCATTTTACTCATAAATTAATAGATCAAATATTAAAAATTAAACTTGAGGGTGTAGCACTCATCTAATTCTAGTTAATTACCGTATTTCCTATATTAGAGCCCCACCCTCTGTTAGAGCCCCACCCTCTAATACAGCCCCACTTTGGAGGATAGTTAAAAAATAGAGCCCCACCCTCAATTAGAGCCCCACCCCAAATAAAGCCCCACCTAAAAAATATTGGAGGAAAAATTATCCCAATAACTTTTTAGATGTATTAAGAGAGTTAAGGAAATAAAGGGATGGATCTCGATGATATCGCGATCAAGAAGGAGGAGGGATAATAGGAATATAGAAATGAAAAGGAGGGGATAACTTCGATATCCGCCCAAATACTCTAGAATCGCCTATATTCCTCCAAATCCCTCCTATTATCTCCAATAAAATAAATTTATGAAGGGTTGCAATTTTTGAAGGGTTTCAATATGAAGGGTTGCAATCGTGTTAGGCACTTGGCGATAATTCGAGAGATTATTAAAGATCTATTAGAGATCTCGCTTATAATCAGTGATGAAGTTCCAAAATTTCTCCAAAACCGGTTCCAGTTCTGGAACTTGTTCAAAAGCTTCATCAAACAAAATCCCTTCATTTGCCTCCTAATACCCCTAGTCCAGAATATCCCTCTTAATCCCGCTAAATCTCTCAATATAAGCTTAATCCTCTGTATTCCCCATAATCCCTTAAAAGCCACTCTTATACCTCTGATCCATCGATGTCAAACACTAGTCCCCTAATATTTCCTTTAATCCGTCCAAATCTATTAATATTTAATATTAATCTTACTCTTATTGAATTATTGTGACTATTTTGTTATTCATTGCTTAAAAAGTTTTAATTTTTCATGAAAAATCAAAAAAAATATCGATTCGCTTTTGATATTTTCGGTTTTATCGACCATCCCCTCCGGCCTATCTCTTGTTGCAATGGACAGTTAATAAATGGGATTTTAACTCAAAGAGGGTTGAAAAATAGAGCCCCACCCTCAATTAGAGCCCCACCCTTTAATACAGCCCCACCCTGGAGGATAGTTGAAAAATAGAGCCCCATGGGGCTCTAATATAGGAAATACGGTATTATAATTCTTAATACTAACATAACTCGATTAATTCTCCATAGGTTTAAATAATAATTCCTCCTATAATTTCCACCCCGAATAATTTATTACTGATAGGTTGAAGAAATAAATCCCAGGAAAATTAATCAAGTATAAGTGTACTAATTTTCTGATTAGTCTTATTTGTTAGTGAATAATAATAGTATTAATCTGACCATTTCAATTTTACTAATCTTCATTGTGTGAACACCACTTCTCGATTGAAATTCAAATTTAGATCCAGGCATTGAACTAATTGCCTTTCCATTTCTAAACCATTGTCCAGGTGTCCTAGTATCTTTTGTCTCACATTTTAGATTAACATCCTCCTTTTCAAAAACTTCCTTGTCTTCTAACTTTACAATAAATTTATTTAAAGGATCAACAATTAATTGAGCCATTGTTTTGTCATCTTTTGTTGTACATTTATATTCACCGTGATCTTCTATTTTAACTCCTGTTATTATCAGACGGCGTTTTCGACCAACTTTTTCTTCCTTTGAAATAGAATTAAATTTTAAATGATAAATGAAATTAAACGGCTTTTAAGATAATTTTAAAAATTTGAGTAAATCAGCTTAAAAACAAAGAATATCACCTATAAGTCTGTCCCCACAGTCATACCCCTCCCTAGTCTCAAATAATCAAACCAATTTCATAAAAAATAAAAACCAATCAATCTGATAATCCAATATTTGGCCAATTTTCCACTTCCTCTCTAAGAGGGGGGATTTTCTCCCCAAAATTCCCTTGCCTCCAAATAGATACCTTAAAGTGAACACCATCCATTTTAATTTTTATTCCATCATGAAACCATTCAACTTCAATATCCTTATCATTAGTATCACACTCAAATGTTGCATTTTCTCTTTCATTAGCCCTTTGGGATTTTAAAGGAACAACAAAAGTATCACGAGGTTCTTCTACATAAACGGCACATTTAGAAAGAACATCTTTACTAACATAAGCTGTCCATTCAGCCTGATCTACTTGTTCAACAACACGAATTGTTAAAGTAAAACGGCCTGTTGTGTCTTTTTCAAGTATATATCGAGGATCGTTTCTATTATAATAAATTTATATTTTGCAAAATTTAGGGAAGTCTTAAGGCGGTAATTTTAGGAAGGCAGGTCTCTTCCTTTGAATAAATCTCCCCCCACACTTGGTAGAAATTTTTTTACTCTAATACATATTATCCCCTTCAAAAAACTTACGGGTCAATAGGCTTTCCACCTCTATGCCAAACGAGAGGGGCACGTGCACTGTTAAGTTTACAAGTTAAAATGCCTTGTTTTGTTCTATAAATTTCCAATGTATTTGGTAATGGAGTCAAAAAATTGTATTTCATTGGAGGTTCTTCAACTGTAACCTAGAAAGATTTTAGAAATTTTTCAAAAAAATCCCATTCTCTCACCATAGAATGTGTTGGGACACCATTTGCCTCACAGGTATATTTTCCGCTATCATCAGGATCTGGATTGTTAATAACCAGAGTAATTGCTTGTTTATCAATTAGAATTTTATATTTAAGTCCTCCAGAAAATATTTCTTTTCTATCTTTCATCCATCTGACTTTGGCATTTGGACGTGAATAAACACATTTTAATTGAGCTATTTTATTAACTTTTTGTTGGAATTGTGCTTTTTCAGGTAATGGTTCTACCCAACGTTCTTCACGTTTTCCAGTGAATATTGAAGCTCTGAAATGAAATTTGACTGATATGGACTAGCCTACAAGGCTTATAATATAATTTAAATAAAAACTGACCGCCTGTCAGCTTCACTTCTAGAAAAGTCTTGACTGTCTTGTTTTTGTTTTTCTGAAATACTCGTTTCTCTTTTTTTAAGTGTCGCTCTAAAGTCTAGATTAGATTCAACTCCAGATGTAACTAATAATTTAGCTGAAGCAGAATCAGATCCATGAGTGTTTTTAACCTCCAATGAATAATCGTCCTCGTCTTGATGTCTACATTTCCCGATAATTAAAGAGACTGATCCAGTTTCCCCATCTGTTGTACAACGAACTCGTCCAGTTAACGGTACATCTCTACCAGCTTTTTTCCAAACAAATGTGGGGGCTGGATTGCCCTCTACAATACATTTAAAGATGGCAACTTCATCTATTAATTTAATAATTTTTTTTAATTTTGCAAGCAAATTAGTATTCTCCTACTTTCAACAACAGTAACATTCTCTGGAATCTCCACAATGCGTGCTGGAGTTCCACTCTTTCCAATTTCTTTTAAAGGTACTGGCGGCCTTTCAAGAACATCAGAAACAGACTCACGGCGCATATCAACGCTGCTTCTCCTCTAAAAAAATTTTAAAATATTTTTTAAATTATTTATTAAAAAAATAAGAGAGATTTGATGAAAATGAGAGAGTGCGAGAAAAAAAAGAAAAAAATAATTAAAGCTTTTAAAGCTTCAAAAATACCCTCATGCTCGCTCTTTTGTATTCTTCCAATTCAGTAGCTTCCCTAGCATTCCATTCAGGATGTAAAGAATCTCTTCTAATTGGATCTACTTCCTCTTCCGGAACTGAAACTCTTTTCTCCGAAGCTTTTTCAAGTTTTTTCAAATCAGGCCTTTCCAATTCTTCCTTTTTATCATCTTTTTTAGTTTTTGGTGTTCTTTTTAATTGTATTCCTTGAAATTCATGTTGCTCCCGTTTTTTGCCAACTTGTAAGCCTTCCAATTGTCTAAGTGCACTTGAACGTCTTTTCTCATCAGAAACAGGCGTTGGAGTTGGAGATTTTGATTTTGACTTTTCCTTCTGTTGATTTTGTTGAAATAATAATAAATTATCCATTTGGATTTAATTTATGAAATTAATTTTTTATGGGGTTTTAAATTCAATCAAATTAATTTTTATGTAGGGATATATTGAAATCCTCATTTGTTATATCAAATTGAATTGATTTAATAATTTTTATTTAATTAATATTTTTTTATTTAATATTTTAATTTTTTTGACAAAATATGTCAAAATCTTTATCTATTTTTCACTCATAAAATTTGATAAAATCAAACAGAAATTTAGATACACAAAAATTGAGTTCATGGTCTTAAAATTAACGCTAGCATCATAAAAAATTTTTTAGTACTTTTTATTAATTTGATTGAATACATTATAAATTGGTAGTTATTAGTAGGGACAGCCAAAATATGCACGGAAAATCGCCAAATATGCGCATATATATGCACCGAAAAAGCCCAAAATATGCACCAAAATATGCAAAATTTGCCAATATATGCACTGAAATATGCACCAAAAAATAGTTAAAATATGCTTTAAAAGTCTATATTTTATGTTAAAAACATTAATTTAACCTTTAATTTTACATTTTGAGAGCAACTCTAAAAGATTTAGTGGATTTAAAATTTCTGCAAAAAAAATTTTTTTTTAATTTTTCCTAAAAAATTTTTCGAAAAATATTTTTTCAAAAAATTTTTGCAAAAAATTTTTTTGTCTAATAAATTTCAAAATTTTGGTCAATTTTTGGCAAAATTTTACAAAAAATGTCAAAATATGGACCAAAATATGCAAAATTTCCCAAAATATGCACAAATATGCAAATATGCGCGAAATGGTCGAAATATGCAAATATATGCATTAAGAACCGGGTCTTAAAGTGCTCGTACATATGTAAAAACACCATTTTTGGGCTTCCCACTTCAAGGCATATCCGCATACAAAACATGCATTTGCATGTTTTGGCTGTCCCTAGTTATTAGGGTTGGTGAATCCTAGAAAATCCTCGGATATCCGGATCATATATGCGAACCGAAAATTTCAGATATTCGTACTTTCCAGATCCAAATCCAACCCTCCTAATATTTATTTTTAAATTAAATAATTTAATTTATAATGTTGCCCATTTCTCTTTTTATTTATTTTATTTTTAGTAGAAAAACATAAAAGTGGCCACTTTCAGAATTAAAAAACTAAAAAGTAAAAATTATAAGAGCTAAATTAACTAAATATTAACAAACAAAAATCATTATATATAACAAAAAAATTAAAGCTCTCTCGATAAAAACAAAAAAAGAGTAAACAAAAAATGACTGATCGACTCACATTTAATTAATTTAGATTAGAAAATTGGAGGGATTTTAATTGTATCTAAAATTGATTTTTCTAAAAAACTAGAGGATTTTTGGAGATATTTAATTGATAAAAAATTAGTAAAAAATAACTGAAAAACAAAACAAATATATATGTAAAAATAATTATTTAGAATTTTAGTAAAAATAGATATTTATAATAAAAGAGAGAATTAAATATAAAAAATAAAATTAAAATCAGGATAGATAAATAAATTAAAATATTAAAAAATCAAAACTTACTTCATCATTATTTGTTGTGGAATTTTCATTGTTATTTGGAGATGTTGTACTCTTTTTTCTGCGACCAACTTGAACCATTTTTGGTGTTTTTGAATTGGCCTGTAAAACCGCAACAAAAAATTTTTTAATTAAAATTAATTTAAATAATTGAGAGAAAAAAAAAGAATTATTTTTTGATCTTATAGATTATTTAAGATAAATTTTTAATTTAAATTATTTAGAAAGAATTTTGCCCAGGAGTTCTCAAAGAAAGTGAGGTAAGAAAATAAAATTATTATTTTGAGAAAATTTTGCTCAAAAGTTCATAAAATAGTATGTAAATTGAGGCTGATAATGGGCATGAATGAGGAAAAAATAAAAAGCAATTCGAGAAATAAAATAATAGAAAAATCCATGCCTTTAAACAGGTCAAAAAATTGTTTAAAAAATTTAAACAATTACAGGTCAAAAGTTAAGAGATTTATTTTCAAAATTAATTTTGAGGAAATGAAGAATGATAAAGAGATAAACAATATATTCTTAATACACAAACAAACCTCTTCTTCATTATTTTCTTCTTTAAAAAATAATTTTTCTCTTTTAGGGGACGGGGATCCTTTCATTCTAATTGATGTCTGCTTCAATTCTGTTAATGTAGTTCCTCTCAAACCTTTAGGGTCTTCATATCTGGATTCATATAAACGTTTAGAATTTTTAGATGGCCTAATTCCATAGGCAATTAAATTTTGTTTTTCATCGTTAAATGAAGAAGAAAAATATTTTTGTTGTTTTTGTTGAAAAGTTTGTGAAGTGGGGGCTAATGGGGGAGGTGTTGGGGGACTCATTTTTATTGATGTAGCCATTCTTTTTTGTAATGGAGAGGAGGAGGAAGATGAAGCCTTTTTATTTAAAGATACAATCGAATCAATCATTTAGTCACCAAATAAAGGACCCAAGTTAGTCCCGGGTTATAAATTGGATTTAAAGAAAGGAGTTACTCAAAGCTTTTTATTGGAATAAAATAAAGGAAACGATTTTGTTTTTATAAAAATGTATGGAAATGAAAATAAGAACAATAAAAGCCCATAATTTAAATATTGTACAAAGTAAAAAGGTTGCCAAAAAGATTCGAAATATCTAATCCAAAATTTATTAATGTGTAAATTTAAAGGATTTTTAAATTTAAATCAAAATCTCTCAAAGTTAACTAAAAAGACTGATTCAATTAATTCTCTCAAATTACCGTATATGAGTGGGAAAGGGAAGGAGAAGAGGGAAGCTTTCTTGATTCAGTTCTGATCATTCTCTGCTTCATAATTAATGAAATATTTTTGTTGAGGGATTAAAAAATAATAGGAATAATATATGAATTTTTGTATATAATATTTACCCTATTAATAAAAATTATAAAAAATAATTTTGGAGAAAATCAAATAGAGCAAATTTTATTTTTGAATTTTTTTGAAAATTAATTTTAATATGATACTTAATAAATAATAAATCAAAGAATATAAATAAATAAATTTTAAAAAAGGGAGGACAAAAGATAATTTTAAAAAATTTAAAAAAAGAGTAGGTGTAAAGAGCAATTAAAAATAAAGGTTGCATTGTTCTTGGCAAACAACAACTTTAAAAGAATTGAAAAGAAGGAAGGTAATTTTGTAAGAAAAAAACGGAAGAAAATAGATCGAATTGCTTTTCTCGAATATTTAAAAAATTGTTTGAAGGTGAAAGAAAAGGGTTAAAAAAAGAGATATATGTTTGTTGAAGATAATAGAGAAGAATAGGGGTAGGGGATATTCCCCTCTAAAAATAAATGAGGCAATTGAAAAGAAAAAATAATATGTAGAAGATAAATGAAAAAAGATCAGAGTTGGGAATAAATAGAGAATTGAAAAAAATAAATAAAATGATCTGTTAGCAGCTGCCATTAAAATTTTGGCAAGAGATATGGAATAATATTAATGAATTTTATTTAATAGAGGCACCCCATATTAACCAAATAGGGAGGACCAGCAATCTGGAAAGTAAAAAATTTTTTTACAGGACAGAAGGAAATAAGGCCTGGTTTTTCATGAAAATTTGAAATTAAAAAGATAACTAGACGTTAAAACAGCAGAAAGAAGGAATAAAATAAAATTTAAACTAAAATTTAAAAAAAAATAATCTTCACTCTAAAAAAACTAAAAAAAAACTAAAGAATAAAGCTTCATATTAATTTTATTTTTTAATTAAAATCTAATTAAAATTTAAAAAAAAATTCCCCCACCTCGCCTTTTGACTTTTGAGGAGGTTCATTAATTGTTACGGAAGGTTTTTTTGAATCTTTCTTTTGTGGTTGTTCAGAAATAGATTCTGTTATATCTTCATCAGATTCTTCCCCTCCAGCACCTCCACTCATTCGAATTAATTCTTTCCGACGTTCTGGAGGAATTTTAAGTCCGGATGAAGGAATTCCATCTTCTCCTGTTACTACCTGAAAATTGAAATTTTTTTGAAATTTTTTAGATTTTTATTTATGTAAATAACCCATAAATTGTTTTAATTTAATTTCCTTTTTATTAACAAAAAACTAAAAATTTTTTTCAATTTTCTACTCTAAAAATATGTAAAAACAAACATAAATCACTTAGTTTAACAAAAAGTGCTAATAAATAAAATTATAATCAATCTTTTTTTCTCAAAAGATTTCAAGGCAAAAAATTGAATAAATTGGAAAAGAATTTCCTTCGAGTTTATTTTGAAAAAATTCCAATTACTTCGCACTTTTAAATCAAAAATGAAATTTTTTAAAGTGACGGTGGATAGAAAGGAACTCAGAATTAATGATAATAATTAGATAAATTAATATATTAATTATAAAAATATAAGAGAATGTAAATTGAATATCCTTGGAAGGTTGGCTCTCTCGCTTTCGTCTTCCGAATTAAAAATAGAAACCCATCCCTGATGTCAAAGATTTTAACAAAAATCAGATCACAGATCTATTAATCAGATATATACTATGGCCAAAACTATTGCCAAAAAAGCAAAAGAAGGAAAAGATAATTTTAAAATTATTTTTTAAACATTTTCCCTTTCCATACAGAATTTCTATGTCGATTTGCCTCAATCTTCTGAGATCCTTCTCTAAAATTTTTACTTTTTCTTCTATCATTATTTTTAATTGGAGAATTTTGGAAATCAATTAATTCATCCAAAAACTTTTCTTTAGCCTGTCCACTTGGAAGTTTACTTAAAATAAATAAATGGACATTAGATAATCTTCTTTGCTTTTGTGCTCTTTTAATTGCTTTAATTTCCTCACTTTCCTCCTTTTTTATTTTTATTTTTTTATTTTTTAAAGACAAACTTTCTTCTTTAAAATTTTGAGAATTCATTTTAATTTAGAAAAACATTTGTTTAATTGTTTTATTGTTGTTTTTATTTAAATTTTGATGTTTTGAAGGTGTTTTGGGATGTTTTTAGGGATGTTTTTATTCGAATTTGTTTAATAAAAATATTTAAAACTTTTTTTCTTATTTCACAACTTTTCTTTTAATTTAAAAAAAGAAAAGTTTTAATAAAATGTATCGAATTTTGAGGTTTTAACTAAATAAATAAATAAACTTTTTTTTACAAAAATTTATTTTTGCCTTCATTATTTTAAATAGTAGAAAAGAGGTTTTTTAAGTTTGTATCGAGGAAAAAAAAGAAAAGATAAATAAATTCTAAAATAAATTAAAAATGATAGAGCATAAAATGAATAGAATTTTGGAAAAGTAAATAACAGTTTAATTTAAAAAGAAATTAAATACATCAAAATGTAATTTAAATAATTTTAAAATTAATTTCAAGAATTCAATTTGTATTAGATTGTATTAGAAATTGTATTAGTATTAGAAATTTGTATTGGAAATTTGTATTAGAAATAAAGATGGAAATAAAGCAGTAATCTATTAATAGACTTAAGTTTAATAAAAATAATTAATTTCCCCAAATTAATTGTTAGAAAAAAAGACTAACCACTTCTGTTGGCACTCGACGCTCATTAGTTGTTGAACCATCAACTGATGGAGAAGGGCTCTAAAAATATATAAAAATATGTTTTTAATTTCCAAATAATTAAGTACATGTATTTGAACTCTCTTTTCAGGGACAATTTGGTCTTCATCTCCTTGAGGTTTTGGAGATTTTGATTTTCGGCGTTTTTGCGTTTTTTCTTGAATATCCAAATCCATTTTTTCTTCTTTCTTCTTTTTTTCCTCCTCAGAGTTTTCCCATTTAATCATTGCCGAGCTTTGTGTCTCTCCATAATCACTATTCGCTATACATTTATATAATCCACTTTTTTCCTCAGTCATTCGATTTATTTCCAATTTAGCTATTTTTCCATCGAAAGTAGCTGAATATCCACTTGTTGATGTACTCACGACTTTTTTGCCGTCTCTGGAAATTTTTTTGAATTTTTAAGTATTTTTAGGTGTTGCTAACTTTGTCCAACTAATTTTTGTTGAAGTATGGCATTGCAATTCGCATTCCAATTTAACTGATTCATTAGTATGAGCAATCTAGAATAAAAATAAATTAATTTAAAAACAAATTATAACAATTGTTTCTCTAATTATTTTTTATTACTATATGTATAAATCTTAAAATATTATTTCTAACGTGAAAAAAGGAAAAATGAACTGAAATTAACGACATAAAGTCGGCTTTATTATTAATTATTTACATAAGCTATTTTCTTTAAACTTGCTTTTTTTATTTGTTTACTTTAGCCGGCTGATCAAAAATGACCAAAACCCTTCCACTATTTTTCCAAACTATAGTTGGACCTCAATTTTACATGCAACTAATACTTGATATAAGTCATTCGAAGACATTTTTTTAATTTTATGGAGTGGAGGTGCTGCCTGAATGATTTTTTGGATACACTTAATTTTGCTTAAATTATTTTTTCCCCAAGGGCATATGCAAAATTGAGTCCTACTACATATATAACAAACAATTTTTCAATGAAATATATTTTAACAATTATGTGCCATTAATATCCTTATATAACTAAAAAAAATCTTTTAATTTTTGAACATCTTGATTAATTCCAAAAAAAATTTAGTAAAATATATTTATTTATTCAAAATAAAAATTCCTCAATAAATTATTAATTAATTTCCTTTCACAAAAAAATAAAAATATCAGGAAGTACCATTTGCGTATACTTATTCGTTTAAATGATCACATTCAAAGAAAAAAATTTTCTTATTTATCAAAAAGGAAATTTTCTTTAATAATTTATGTTTTTAATTAAAAATAGGAGAGTAATTTGATCATCGGAGTGTTTTAGAAAAAATAAATATAAACTGTTTTTAGTTTATTTTAGTAAGCATAATATAATTAATTAACCAAATTTAACTGTTCGCTAAATAATTCTGGTTAATAAAAAATTAAACATAATTGTTTTTGGTAACTAGAACGAACATTTAAAAAAATTATTTATATAGTTAAATTGTGATAACTTAAAAACAAATAAAAGAAGAGTAAAAATTGTAGAATTTAACATTCTAATTAAATATTTCTTTTAATATTTAATAATTATTTTTAAAAGAAAAATTAATCTTATATTTTATAATCCCTGTTATACCCCCCCCCCATCGGGACAACCCACTGGGTCCTAACTGGATATACCCCCACCACGGATCTATGGCTGATCCTAATTGAATTGTTGCCAATTTTTTAATTTGAGCCTGTCTATTCATGTTCCACTTAATTTTGCTTTGATCGCCCGATCTTTCAAGAACCGAGAATAGAGAGAATTGGCAACACTACTAGTAAATAATATCCGAAAAAGTTGATTTTATCCTTGAAAAAAAAATATAAAATAATTGATAAGACAATTGATCTCCCCATTCTCGAAGGGGCAGAGCCACGGAGACCTCTCAATATATGGTTTATTATAGACTGTTTCAGATAGAAATTGTGCTTTATTAATATACAGAAATAATTTTTTTTAAAAAATTTTAAGAGAAAGTAAATATTTATTTTAAAATGTTTTCTAATCGCCAAATAATTTTTCTTTTATTTATTGCTCTATTTGTTGGATTTTTCATGCTAACAACAGAAATTAATGCAGAGGATACAGGATTATTAGGTATTTTTTAAATATTAAAAAATATTTCGATTGAGAAATTTCGTAAAAAATGAGAAAGGATGTTGGGAAATTTTGGGGCACAAACGAGAAACTAGCGACTCAAATCTGAAGAAACTTAAAATTTCTAATCTCAAAAAACTTAATCTAAAAGCTCCTTCATTGATGGAAGAGTTTGGATAGATGTACGCGGGAAAGAATGATAATATCTTAGATAATATTTCCCTTCAATTAATTAAATTTAGAATTTAATTATTCAAAAATTATTTTTAAATAACAGTTCGTGAAAAACGTCAATGGTGGAGACGTGGAGGAGGTGGATGGAGAGGAGGATGGAGAGGTGGATGGAGAGGAAGAGGTAGAGGATGGTGGTGAGGTGGACAAGATGTTTAAATTGAATGAAGTTTTTAAAAAAAGAAGAGATGGCTATAAAATGTGATAAAAAATAAAAAAAATACTTTGAAATATTTAATTATTATTATAATTAATATTTAATGAGATAAAGATTCAAAATATTAAAAATATTTGTGTTTTGTTAACTCTTAGTTAATTGTTCATAGCTTATATTTACCTAAAAATTATTTTAATATTTTCACCTGTGATTTGAGAGGTTCAACAACAACAGGTGCACGTTTATGTCCTTCCGGTCCTTGGCGAGCAGGTGTCTTGCTTCGGCTACGGCTTCTTCTAGTTCGTTCTTTAGGTGCTGGTGGAAGACCGTCTTTATCAGCACTTTCTAATGCTTTACGACTTTTCTTCGCTAAAAACAAAATTTAAGTTTAAATATTATTTGAATAATTTAGATAATTAATCAAGAAATTTATATAAATTTATAAATTAACAGCAAAAAAATATTTTAAATTTACGTGTAGGTTCTCGACTTGTATCTGCCCCAGGGGGTTTTAACCCTCCTTCAGCTTCTTGTGTTGGTGTAGCTGTTCTTGAGCGAATATGTTTTTTAGGTGACCCCTCTCTAGATTTCGATTTATGTCTTCGCTCTCTTTTTTCACCCGGGGTTCCTTCTCTATGTTTTTTGGATGAAGGGGTGCCTGGGCGAGATGGAGTTTTTGAGCGACGAGAACCAGAATCTGAAGGGGCTTCTTCTTGTTGAAAATCCAATTTTAGGTTAGCATTAGTTTCTCCTTGGTCATTTTTGATATTACAACGATACTGTCCAGCATCGTTAGCTGTTGGCCTCTGAAAGAGATAAAATATTTTTAGAACTAATGATATTTGTAGGGTATATTATATGATTCAAATATTTGTGAATCTATCTTACAGGATTAGCTGTGTCTAGCAATCTTTTAATTTAAAAATATATTACTCGAATTTCTAATTGGCAAAGAAAAGTTCCATCCCCCAAATCAGCAAAAACATTTTGATATAAGCCACCCATTTGAAGAGGAACACCGTCCTTGCTCCACTTCGCCTATTTAATACAAAATTATTATTAAACAACTCAAAAATTTCACCTGGGGCCTTGTTAAACTTTTCACTTTACATTCCATTAGAATCAAAGCGCCCCCGTCCCTGGGCATGATTCTAGGCTTTCCAACAAAAGTAGGTCCTCTAGCTGTCTTTTCTGCCGATCCAGGCTCTTCTCCGCCAGCAAAATTTAAATTAATATTGGCATTTGATTCGCCAAATTGATTGCTTGCTGTACATTTATAGGCGCCACCGTCCGAAGCGCTAGGCTCCTAAAAAAGATTTTTAAGGCAATTGTGACATAAAAAATTAACATACTTTTATGACTAAATTAGCCTTGTACAGATTTCCACTAACTTTATTCAAAGTTAGTTTAACTCTACTAGAAGCATTTATTGCTGTACCAGCATGTTGCCATTTAACATCGGGTGGAGGGTCTGCCTCTAAAAGGCATTCCATTAATAAATCTCCAGACGCCGTCTGTTGAATTGACGGTTTTTGGGTAAAACGGGGTGCTCCCGGCATTTTTCTTTTATCTTTTTTGGCTCTTCTCTTTTATTTTTTGGCTCTTTTTTAAATAATTTCTTGGCTCTCCTGTAATAAAAAAATAATTAATTTATTTTAATTAAAAGGTGCCCTTCTCTTTAAAAAGATAAAATGATTTAAATAAAATTAAAGAACACTGGGAGGAATTTTAAAAAATAATTACCGTATATGCTCTATTAATTACCCTCTCTCAAATAATTGCCCCCGCTCTATTAATTACTCCCTCCAGCAAGAGGTTGAAACAATAATTACCCAGGGTAATTATTAGAGCATATTCGGTATTTAAAAATAGGAAAATATTTTTTAAAAAAATTAAAATTGACATTAAACAAAAAATAGAATAGAATTTTTAATTTTAATAATTTTTAAAAATTCTTAAATAGGTAGTTGAAAAATAATTTATTTTGTTTTAAATACAACTGATAATTAATTTAAATTCAAATAAAAATAAACAAAAAAATTCTGTAAAATAATTATAAAAAAATATTTGTAAATTTTAAAGTTATTTAGTAGATAGTTTTTAAACTTAAAGAAAATGTGTTCTTTCAATAAATTGACATGTATTAACTGGTACTTGAAACATTTCAAAAGATAAAGCCAAAAAACGATATTTTTTGTTTGTATTTTAAAAAATATTAGAATTTATATATTTACATAAAGAAAACTTGTAATGATTTTTTTAGTTTTTAGACAAAAAATATTTTAAGAATCAGCTGTTTCTGGTTACTATCAGAGTTTCTTAGGTAAAGAAAATATATTCTTTTAAATTATGAAATAATATAATTGTAAAATAGAATTCAACGTTTGCAGAATGAGGGTGTGAGTCACGGATGTCACGGGTCACCCAAAACTCGAAACCCGGTGTTTTTTCGACTGGATACCGAAACCCGACCCGAGTAATTTTTAAAACTCGACCCGACATTTTTCTAAACCCGTGGCATCTCTGGTGTGAGCATAAAGGTAAGAGAAGAATCCTACTTTAATCTGAAATAAAGTTCTGAGATTTTAAATGAATTAAAAATAATTTTTTAAATAATTTTAAAAATTTAATTTCAATAAAGATCTTCAAAAAATCATTTAAAATATCAATTATCTATTAAAAATAAAAAATTTTTGATCAAAGGGAAATTCAATATTAGCAAATCTCTATTTGATATTTTTAAAAATATTTTTAAATTAATTTTTTCGAATTAATTTCCGGTTGGATTAAACTAAAAAATAAAAAGAAATTATAACTTTCTTTTTCCCTTTGGCCATGAAAATAGGGAAGAAAGGCAATAATTTTGTTTTTGAAGAGAAAAAAGGCAAAGAAAGGTTGTTCCTCTTTCTGATCCATTCCTCTCATTTTTTAATTCTTTTTGCTAAAAATACTAGAAAATGCTTTTACTTTTTTTTTTGTTTTTCTCTATTTTAGTTTTGCTTGTTTTTTATCTCACAAATGTTTTATAACACACACACACTCCTCAAACTTCGGCTGTCCTCAAAAAATAATTTTTTTTCTCCCTTTTCTTTTCCCGATTTTAGATCAATGAGAGGAAAACTCTGTAAATTCTCTTTCTCATGTCCATCTTAAAAACCTCAAAAGCTTTCCTCAAATCTGGAAGAGAGATCAAGACTATCTCGTGGTGAGGGTATTTGGGCGCTGGGCCGTTAAGTAATAAAAGTTTATTTTGATATTCAAACAAAAACCGTTTAATAGATCCTCTTTAATTCTAAATAAAGTAGAGAATTATTTTAGGATTTTTTGAGTTGTTTTATATTTTCGAAGAAAGTGCGAATTTTTGTTTTTTGAATATAAATACTGTATTTTTGAAATAGGGTTCAAAAAATATGCGATATTTATTAAATCTGAAATTTTAAATTAATATCATAATCAAGAATATGTAGGTGAACAATCAAACGAATTTTGCTCTAAAAGATACCAATTTTTCCACTGATCTCATTCCTTTACTCCAAACATTGGAACACTGAACCATACGAGGCATCATTATTGGAAAATGGAGCCTTGGTAATCATATAATTTTTGCAACTCATAAAAATGCCCAAACTTTCCAACGCCCAAATACCCTCAACTAACTCTTTATTTCTCTCCAAATATTTAAAGTCAGCCGTCAGAGAAATAAAGTTAAGACAAACAACAATAAAATCTATTAGTTAGCTTTATCCGCCCCCATCCCTCACAGTGAGATCAATTCCATTGCGGACGGAAAATAGTAAAAACAGTTGGGCCATTCAAAAAAAACTTTTTTTTAATTTTTTTGCTTTCAATTTACGCACGAACGAATAATTCTTTTTTCTACTATTTCAAGTTCCCTTCCTTTATATTGCCAAATATCCCCCTCTGGGAAGTGTGAATATCCTATATATTTAGGGCATAACATTCTTTTCTTATTTTTTTTTCTATTTTTCCTCTTTGACTTTAAAGAAACAGCTGGCAATTAAAATATATTTATTTAACCGCCTACTCCCCAACTTTTTATCGAGGTTTTTGATACTTAAAAGAATATATGTTCCAAACAGTGTGTAAATTAGGAGATTAGATCGATCCAATTTCTTTCTGGGAAATAAAAATATTTAAAAAGAATTTAAAAATATTTTTGCGTTTAAGTTGAAAGATTGCAAAAAATTGTGGAAAGAATTTTTTTAAAGAAATGCAACAAAAATAGATTTTAGTAAAAGAATAAATTTAAAAAGGAAACAAATTCTTAAATTAATTTCTTATCAATTCTTAATCGATTTAGATAATTAATACATCAACTAAAGCTTTTGATGAAAGAATTATTTTATCTAGCAGGATTGTTCTGATCAGATCAATTTACAAAAAATTACAGCCTAATAAATATAATCACAATTGTGCGCACTTATCTAGATGTAACTTTTTGTAGGATGATCTGATCAAATCAATCTTGTTGGCTTAAATAATCCACACATCCAGGGCTTCTGAATGATAAAAGATGTCGAATACCCTAAAAAGTTATGGCCCAAAATATCTCGAAATAACTCGATAAACGAAATTATTGTTCATGCTCTCATCTCGGTCCGATCACTAATTTTGCTCATTATTTAATTTTCTTAAATATTTAGTTCTCGAGTATATTAATTTATCAGCATAAGTGAAGAAAAATATAATTGGACCTCACTTGTAGGTAATCTTTTAAGGCAAAATTTGTATCTTAAATGAGTGAGAAAATCGAGAAAACAAATTAGTATATTTAACATAAATTATCAAATTCTGTAAAATCATTCTGAGGCAAACAAATATTTAAAGGATCTCCCTTTTGAATCTAAAAAAAATAATTTTTGAATATTTTAAAAATTATTTTTACTTGTATAAATCTTAAACAATTTGGAGAACCACTAGCAACTAGAAGAGGTGGAAGTAAATGATTATTAAAATTATTTATTTTTTGTTCTTCATTATTCGAATATTTAGGTGATTCAGTTAAATATTGAAGTTCAGCAAAGTTTGGATGGCCAGATGGGAAACGGTCACTAAATTGGTGATAGATTTTTTGTTGATATTTTCAAAATTAATTTTAAAAATTTTAAAAATACAAAATATCAACTTCTCGAAATTGGTCAAATCAAAATTTTTTAAACAAAAATAATCTTCCTTACTCAACAACCAAAACTTTGTAGATTGCTCTGTTAGTAGCACCTTTACTAAACAATTCATAATCATAGCCAGGCTCTCTAAAAAATTATTTTTCAATTATTTTTTTAAATTTATTTTCACCTATTATTTCTCTCCTCCTCATCTTCCCTCATTCTCCCTCTTTTATTTCCTCTTCTATTTGAAATTATTGCTTCCCTTCTTATTTGATAAGTTTTCCAATTTTCACAAGAACTTAAACAATTAAAATTAGGCCAGTATCTAGGTCTTAAACATTCCCAAGGTTCTCTGTCAAAACGCCGAATATTTGAAATTAATTGAAATTCTGACTTAAAAATTGAAGGGAATTTAAATATAATTATTTAATTTTCTTTTTTTACTTTTTTTATTTTTTCTGCCATTTTTGTATTTAAATCTAAAATTCTAATATGTTCACTTTCAATATCAGACATAAATAAATGAGTTATTCCAGATTGAGTATTTATTTGTGGAAGATGAAGACGAAGAGAAAGGGGGCCTGATGAGGGTTTGGTTGAATAAACATGAGGGAACTGGAAAAGAAGAAAATTTTAAAAAATAAATTTCTAATTTCTTTTTTTCTCCACCTGATCCATTAATTCTTTAGGAAATTGGAAAGTTCTCATTTTAACTGAATACCCAAAAGAAGACTGGTTATTATTTTCTTGATTTTTCTTGGGTGTTTTAACAATATACCCAGCTCTAATTAATTGGGTAAAGACTGTATATCTTTAAAAATAAATTTAAAAAAAATATTTTTTTAATTTTGAGAAAACTTTAATAAAGAAACACGTAAATTCCCCAAAATTTTATATAATTGAGGAATTGTTAATTGTTTCCCTTTTTGATCAACAACAATTGCAGCACCAATTTCTGATAAATATAAAGTTTCTTCTATATTGAGAAAATGTCCATCTCTTCTTTGGATTCCCATTTTGTGTAAAAATGAAGTCTAAAAAATTTAAGTTTGTTAATATAGGTATTTGATAGGCAAACTTTAAAAATTAAACCAACTTAAATAAATCTCAAAATAAATTATAGATGATTGCTTGGGAGATCTCTCGAAGTATCTCGCCACTAGTGGAAATGAGAATTTTGCTTGTGCTCGTACGCGGCATATTTTTCTCGTATCCGTAAACATGACGAATACGAATTTTTTACGAGTCTCCAAATGCTAACCGCTACTAGTGCAAACAAATTCAACTTACAATCAACGTAGGAAATTTCCATAAATTTTTAAGAATAATTTTTAAAAACCCACCGATTTACGTATTGACTTAAAAAGTGGTTTATTATTGACATATTCCAATGTTAAAAATTCACTTCTTAAACGAACACCACGCGATGAAAAATTTGATGAAGAATTTGTTGATGTAAGTGACATTTCTTTTATAAATTTTGAAATGATTTTTAAAAAAAATAAAAATAATTGAAACATTTTAAGGAAATATTTGAATATACATACTTTTTATTAAAAAAATTTTATAGCTTTTACAATAAAATGGAGAAATGAGACCGAATTAAAAAAAAAGTCATTTTAAAGGGAAAATAATTTTTAGAGTATTTTTTAAAATTACTGAGTAAATTAAAATGGCAATTTAAATGGATGGGATTTAAAATAGAAAAAAATTTCAAATCTATTCGCCGTGCCGTTGTAGACAATCAAAAAGAATCGAGAAGACTAAAAAAGGTTAAGGGTGTATGACAGATTCAAAATTAAATGATTTCCCTTGAAATGTTTACAAATTTAATGTTAAACAAATAAAAAATTATAAAAATCCCATCCATTAAACAAAGCAGACCCGAAAAAAGAGGCAAAGCTTTTGTAAATGCAAGAAGAATTTGAGGAAATTAATGCCAATTTTGAATATTTTTGTTAAAAGTTTACATAGACATTACTGATTTTAATGTTGCTTTTTAATTTTTATTACTAAGTAATTACATTTATGAAATGTCAATTTTGTAGAACAACGGTAATTCTTAATTAAGACGTTAAATTTATAACAACACATATATAGATATTTAAAAATTTGCTTAAAATGTTAAGAAAAGTAATCTCGTTTATTTTTTAAAATTGCGACGTCAGAAAAATAGATAAACGTAAAAATTAGATGTTAAATTCAAACTATTCTAAAAATGGTTTTGAAAAACGTCAAACCTAAAAGGAATTAAATATCAAAATATATTTTAATAAAAATTAAAATCAGTAATGTTTTAAAAGTAAAAATATATCTAAATAATCACAAGTTACTAAAAATTGTACTGAATTTTAAAAATGTGGGATAATAATGTCGATGTACAAGACTTGATATTTTATGTCAAAAAAAATTTAAGAATCATTAAATATATATTCACTAAACAAAAACTTCTTAAACAAACACAGATATAGTCCATAATATCTGTAACGAAAGTGTTGATAAGTTATATGGCAATGAAGCAGCATGCTAAAAAGTTAATTAAAATATTAAAAAAAATTTTTTATCTATCTTTAGAAAACTGATTTTCTAAAACAATTTGATATATTTTAATCATCTTTAACGATGAACAATAATTTAAACAAAATTTTAATATCACGGAATATATTAAATAATACAGAGGGAAGATCGTATATGCAGAAAAATTAAGGCAAATTGAGAGAAAATTTTTGGGATATTTTAAAAATTTCTATTTAGAAAATTTAATATAAATGAAAGAGAAGGGAGAGAGAGGGAAGGATAGAAAATTATTTGTGAGGAACTGCAAGTAATTCTGATAATTTATTTTCATTCCTCAAAATAATTGCTGTTGATCCAGCAATTTGTTCTTTAACTTGTTGAATGTCGTTATCAATTGTTGAGATTGCAATATTTAATTTTGTTGTCTCAGAATCTGCATTAACTGTTTGCTCGGCTAATTTTCTTTCCAAAATTGAAATTTGTTTTCTTGTCTCTTCCAATTCACGCAACATTGAATCAAAATCGTCAACAACAAATTCTAATGTCCTAACTAATGGTTGGACATATTGAGTCATTTTTTGAAGTGATTTTTGTGTTGTTTCAATTTCAGCACGGATTCGTATTTGTTCGTGCATATCAAGAGAATCTCCTTCCATAAATGTATCGTCAACCTTTAGAAATTGATTTTTTCAATGAAGTGTCTTATTAAATAGTTAAGAACCTTAATTTGATCTTTCTCCAATTCTCTCGTATTCTCAATAATTTTATTTACAAGAACTCCATGTTCCTCATTACTCTCTGCCAACTTGTTGATATTTGCACCAGTGGAATTTAATATAAATTGCTGCTCATCCTCTTCTTCAACTAATTCACCATTCCACCAAGAATCTTCATTTTTTGTTTCTTCCTTCTTTTCATCCAAAATTAAATTTAACATTTTATTTTCAGCTTGTATTGAAGACTCTTCTTCATTTAAATTTGTAGCAATAATATTTTTCTTTGGCTTTGGAGGTGCTGGACGAGCTACTGCCGTTCCTGGTCTACCTATCGCTGTTTGGGGTCGTCCAATTGCTGTGCCAGGTCTAAAAGGCTGGGGTGGAGGCAAATCAGGTGTTGAATCAGTAACTTCAATAAAGTCCGGACGACTAAAATTCAAAAGATTTCTTTAATAATCTGCAATTATAAATAACCTATTTTTTGCCGAAATAGATCTTTCCGAAAGATCGTGCCTTTCACTTTCTGCTCCTGTTTCCTCTGCAATTCCAGAATCATCTCCTCCTTTAGAAGTTCCACCGCTTGACTCTCTTCCTGGTGGGGTTCTTCCAGTATTGGGAAGACTAGAATTGTAGAACAACTCTGTATGAGGTTGAGATATTTGCTGTTGAGTAGATAAAATGGGAGAAGCTGAAGCAGTCACTTCAGTTGTAGAAACTTTAGTTCCAAATTTAGAAATTGAATCAGACCTCTTCTTTTTCCTTTCCTTATTTTCCTTCAATGTAGTATCCTTTGATGTCTTTTCTTTAGAAGTAGAACTTTTCTTCTCCTTACTTCTGCTTTTAGTCTCAAGGATCACTTGTTCTTCATTCTTCGCTTTCTTAACTTTTAAAGACTCTTCTGGAACTTTTACTTTCTCTTCCTTTTCATCTTTAGTTTTCAGTTTCGAGGTAGTTTTGCTTCGGGATTTGGAGCTATCTCTTTCCTTGATTTTTTCTGCCTTTTCTTTAGATGAAGTTTTGCTGGATTTTGATTTAGTTGTTGTCTTTTTCTCCTTTTGTTGTTGTTTATATGCTGCAGCTTCAATAGCTAATGATTGGAGTAAAATATTTGTTAATTCTGGTTCTTTTCCAGCAACAATTTTGGCAGGCTTCAAATCATCTAATTCACCATTAATATTAAGTAAATCAATAAGTTTTTGAAGAAAAGCAATTTTGCTATCCCGTGATGATGAAGCTTTAGCAGAATCAAGTTCATCGACTGTAAAAAGTCCGTCTGAATAGCCTGTAGATTTAATAATTTCTGATACGATGTCATGAAGAAATTTAAATGGTGGTCTGTTGAGTAATTGATCAGTTAATACTGGACGCTGAATAAGTGGGGCAAAAAGTGCCCGAGTTTTGTCTGTGTCCATTTAATTTTTTAAAAATTCTATAAAATTTCTAAAAGAAAAATTAATAAAAAAAATATTTGTTCATAATTGGATATGATAAAATATTAGCCAGGTGTAATATAAAAACATAACAAAAGGTAGACGGATTATGAGGAAAATAATAGGCCTTGTTGGGAAATTAAAGTTTAAGTTCCTCATTTTTGTTGGCATGGTCTTTTTAATTTTGTCACAATGTTTTAAGAAAAGGAAAGAAAGTTTTTAACAATGCCAATCTTAAGTTGTTTGCGTGAAAGAAGTGAAGAGAAAAAAGTTAATTGTTAATGATATGGCAGAAAATTCAAAATTATAAACAAAAAGGAAACCATGGAAATTAACTAATTAAGCAAAGAAAATAATGCATTGTGTGCACTTGAAAGGCTTGGCGCATTACCTAAGTTATTGAGGGTTTTCGCTAAAAAAGGATTAATAAAAAACGAAAAGTAATAACACGTAGCCATTGCGCCCCATAAATACGAAGTAAAGACGAAAAAATATGGAAATAGAACAATTCTTGATAGAGAAATATTGCTAGATAAGTGGGTATGGGTCGGAGAGACCGTTAGAGGAAAGAAGAAAAAACGTAGGCGGAAAGATTACCATGACAACAAGATTAAGAAATTATTTTAAAGAAGTATATCTCGTTATCTTAAATGGGTAAAGTAAAAAATTTTTTTGATTGTCAAATAATAAATTTGGGAGAGAAAGAAGAACAATTAAAGGAACATAAACGATCTTCACGAAAAAAAAATTAATTTTTTTAGTAAAATTAAATTTATTATTTTATTTTAAATTATACATTTTATTTAATATTTTTTTAATTTTAAAAAGAATAAATTTAAAGAGCTCCCACCAGATTTTAATTTTTCTGCACTGTATCCTCCTCTTCTTGTGAAGGTAGTCTCAACATGTTCTGCACACAATGAATGACAACAGCTGGAGATACCCAAGTAAGTAAATGTGTTGGAAGTTCAAGACGGCGACAATAATAGAACATATTCCAAAAGATAATTGGATGGGAAATGCGCATTGACGGCCTTCCAAGAATTGAAAGTCCATCTTCTATCAAAAGTGTTTCTAATTCACGTCGTAATACCAATGGATTGACATAAGGAACAGTAAAGGCTTGGACTATCTGAAAATTAGAAAAAATTAGTGCGATCAGTACTTGATGGGGATTGGACACATAAAATTAACCGAGAAAACAAGGGGAAAACAAGAGAGAAAATAGGTACTTTTGTCAAAAGGACAATTTTAATTCAACTTTCATTATCATATAGGCATCAGAGTTGTTTAGGTACTCGAACCCCAACCCAACACTTGAGGTCCACTTGAACACCCTTATAGGCACAATTAATTCTAGACAACATTTTTTAATTTAGTCACCTTTCCAGAAGTATTAGTAACAGAAAAAGATGAAGTTCCTGTCGAGTTGGGACTTTGTTGTTGGTCAATAGGTATTTGTTGTAGTTCCCTTACTCTTATACAGATTTTAAGTGAAGGTAAGAAATTGTGCTGGCAATTAGGGCAAACACTGTTTAAATTAGCATCATCAACACACCAACCAAGAGTAAGTTCATCATCATAAACGGCTTGTTCACAATTTGAACAAATTGAGGAGGAACAAATAAAAACATCTAAAAAATACTTTATTTGATTGCTTAGATTTTTAAAAAATCACCAAGAAAGTCTTCAGGTAAAAAAGAATCATCATCTTCCTTTTTTCTTAACCATACATTTTTGAGTTCTGTATTATCATCAGGAATAACCTCTTGCATCCAATAACTAATTGAGATAAGATCCTTAGCATTTCTTGTACAACGCTTAAAAATAAAATTTTTTTAAAAATCAAAATATAATTTCCATACAAAGAAAAAGTCCCCTCCTGCTTCCATTAAATTATTATTAGACGAGGAAATTGTAGAAAGAAGCGATTGATCAGGATTCTGATAAGATTTACTGAGATTTAACTTTGCCTCATTGAGTATTCTAGCAGGATTAATTCCTGAACGTTCGAGTAATTCGGTAGCTGGTCCCAAAACTTCATTATAGGCTGAAAAATAAAATTTTTAGAATTTTCAATCAATTTCCTATAAAATTACTTCTCAATGCTTTCTTTCTCATTTTATTTGCCAAAGTAAACAAATTTGGAGTTACACTTAAAGCAGAAGTCGAAGCAGATGCAGTATCCGAATTCATACTACTACCGCCATCTTTGCTCATTTTTTCAAGATTTTCTAGAAAATAAAAAAAATTTAAATTAAAAAACAATTTCTCTTTTCACCAGTTGTGTGGCTTCTATTCATTAAAGTATTGAGAATAGGTGAATTTGAAGCAAAATTTTTAAACCAAGATCCTCCTAGCCGTAATGATCTTCTCTTCTTTTTCTCGCTATTTAGAGACATTTTGTCTGCAAATGACTGTCCTTCGTCTTCTAAAGCAAAAGGGGAAGCAGAATGTTCTTTCATAAATTTTTCTCGACTTGGGCTAATAAAAGAAGTATTTTTAACTTTAATAATCGCATTTTTGCCGTTTGGTGATTTCTTTAGACGAGATTGAGCTTTTTCCATTAAAGGCGTGTTTTTGATTTGATTAGAGACTGTATTTGTTTCTGTGCGTTTTTTATTAAGAACTTCTGCGCCTAAAGGGTCAAAGTAGCCATCGACGTTGTTAGAATTGTTTTCTTGATGATTTTGAATAATTGAGGGGTTTTTATCTTCATTTACTTCAATCTCATCGTTAATAACACCTAAATTAACGTTAATTAAATGCAAAACGATTCACTCTTTACCAGTTTCTTTAACAATACTTTCTTGATCTTCTGCATTATTCACCAGTTCATCAGAAGTATTTTTTGGTGATGCCTCCTGTTCCACGAATTCGGAAGATGTATCAAACTGTGGAAGAAATTGTTTAAATCTAATACAAACTTCTAAACATAAACGAAGTTTTCTCCAAGCATTAATTGCACGAATTCTGTTGTCAGAAGGCCAATTACCCTAAATTTGTCAGAATTTTTGAGATTCATTCAAATTTTACTTTTATCAACGCTTGATGGTAAACTTTATATGTTACAGCATTTGGGACAATCCCTATTCGAAGCATTTTTCGCAAAATATATACGGCCAATTCAGGATGATCATAATCACCACAAAGTTGCATTAGAACTCGATAACATATTTGATCATGAATAGGCAACATTAACTGTTCCATTCGAAAAATAACCTGCAAAATAGTAACGAAAAGTTTTTGGTGAAATTTAAAATATGTAAAAGAAGACAGAAATAAAAGCGTGAAAATATTCCTAGCATAATAATAGGTAAAATTCTAGTGGGACTAAATTACTCCTAAAAAAAGAACATACTCTTAATCCAAGAATCAACATTTTCTTTTTACTCCTAGCCAAAGCCAACATCGATGGTAGTTGCATAAACCAAATTGAATAAGCAAAGAAAAGGACAGAACGAGGCCAATACATTATATTTTGATGATAAAGGATTGACGTATCTGACATCGATTTTCGAATTTCTTGACGAGTTCTCAAAACAATATTTTTATTGCCTAAATTATTTAAATCAGAAAATTCATTTTCAATCCATTAATAAACCTAATTTTGTACTAGAGTGAAGATAATGTTGAGGTGGACGAGAAGCAGCTGCATTTCGTATAAAGTCACGTTCAAAAAGCTTCTCGCAAAAACGATGAGGAAAAGAAGTGAAAGTAAAAGTTGTATCTTTGAATTCTGGATTGAGCATTTGCGGTGCCTGGATAACCACAGTCCGATTAGCACGGATTGAATCAGCATCGAGTAAACGCAAATTGTTTACACGCTCCTTAGCTGCTGCTCTGTCTTTACTGCTCACAGCATTTTGCAATTCTAGTAAGATAAACGAATAAATATTAAAAGGATAACAGGAAGTATAAAAATTAATTTAAAATAGATTCCAAAAAAATCTAAAAACGCAAATCCCTAAAGCCAAGTAGTCCCTAGAGTGCGAACCCTAAAGCCAATTTAATTAAAAAATCTAGAGAAACCTGTATTAATTTTTGAAATACAATCATCAAAAAATATATAATAAATGCTTCTATCAACAGAACCACTACCAACTTCACCTCTTTCAGACAAAGCACCAGAACGCTCTTCAATAAACCGAATAAAGCAAGTTGTCTCACGAAATTTTTGATAAAATAAGGAAGAGTGTTTGTCACGAGAATGAAGAAAAAGATTCCAATCAAATAAGCGATTTATGTCTAATTCTTCTTCACTTTTTGGAGAGCTTAGAAGAGGGCGAAGATAATCCAAATAGCCATCCATCAAAGAACACACAAATCTGAAAATATTTTTATAAAAACAATTAAAATACACAAAATTAAAAATACTTTAAAAATGCTTCACGAATTGCTGTTTCTGACTGAATTTTTTGCAAATACAACTTTTCGTTGTCCTTTTCAGTTCTAGAGGAGGCATTTTCTATAGTAGTTTTGATAGAAATTTCATCCAAAACATTACGAAGTCTTTTTAAAGGCTTTTTAGGTAACATATCCAATTTATAAAACTTTCTAACACTTGATTTGCTTACTGTGGCAGTGTCCAAATCAAAACAAGTAACGTCAGAAGGAGGGTCTTCTTTTAAGTCAAAATATCTGAAAAATAATATTTTTTTATTAAGAAATAATTTAAAAAGAAAACCTCGAATCAACTCCTGCCATAAAAGAAAGTGGAGCATGAAAAATATCAGCAACTTCTAAAGGACATTGGGGAATATAAGGTAAATGCCAAGAAAAAGGAAAAATCATTGCACAAAATGTTTCCGTCACAGATGCCAAAAGCCACGGACGTAAAGAATGAACCAAAATCTTGAAAAAAGACATTAAAATATGTACCAAAATTTAAATTACTTTTTGTTCTAAAAGTGTTAGAAGCATAGCATAAAGCAAATTTTCTGTTCCAAGGCACTTTAGAGTTTCGAAAAAATCAGCACCAGTGAGAGGGATTTGGCTGTCGTCACTGCTCTTTAAATCGATCATGTCGTTTCCAAGTTCCATTAAAATTCGTGGACGAGATGGCGAAGGGAATGGAACTTCATACATCTTAAAAAACAATTTAAGGACGTAGCATTGTCTACTATGCTTTATAAAAATTAGAAAGGCAATCACGAAAATAGCATTTTCAAATAACGTTAACCCAGTAATGATTTTTCTAAAATTCTCTACTTTCTAGAAACCCCAATTAAAAATAATTAAAATAAACCTACCAAATGCGAAATATATCGTTCAATAGGAATTTTTGATTTTCCAACAGTTACAGAATTTAAAAGAAAGAAGAGGAAGCGTCGGAATGGCTCGAAGAATGGATAACGAGAAACAATACAAATTGCTTTATTACAATAAAAGAGGTAATTTTCTTGATTTGTAGCAACACCCTCTTCCTCAACTTCTTTTTTATCCACAGAGTTTGAAATTGACGGAGTAGAAGATTCTAAAGATTTTGGACATTTTCTAAAGCCATCTCCTAAATCAAATTTTTCTAATTGTTCGTCAGTCAAAGTATTTGTGTATGGTTCAAAAAATGTTACAGAGGCGCCATAATATTTATTATATGCCTTAAATTAAGGAGAAAATTTAAAAAGAGCATAAAATTTCCCAATACCTCATCAGTAAAAACACAAGTGCTAAATGTCCGTGAGCTAGAATTCTTTTGGAACCAACACAACTCTCAGGCCAGGCTTCCTTTAAAAATTTTTTTTAGAAATTTTTTAAAATCCAACAAAAAATAACTAACAATTGAAGCCCCCATCGGAAGGAAAAATTTTGGAACATTTTGAACAAGAATTGAGTCTTCATCACTTTTGAGAGGTGGAAAACAATCCAAAACACTAGCTCTATAAGCTAAACGTTTGCACATCATCTGGGATTTTTTAAAACAAATATAGACTTCCGAACCAAGCATACTCTGAAAAAATTAGTGAATTTTTAAAAAATAAAAAAAACCAAACTCTATTCAGATTTTTTGGGATTTTGTAATAAGTATGGGGAGGCTGCTCATTTTTGTTTTCTAAAATAACACAAATATCTGTAATGACAAGTTGATGTGGAGGAGCATCTGGTTTAGCACGTCTAAATGTGAAATAAAGGCTTTGAGAATTGCTATTGCTAATATTTGCCGAAAGACCATAAGGAGTTTTTTCAATTACAGTTGCATCCTATAATGTAAAAAATTAAATAAATAATGGACATAAAATAAAACTATGCTGAAAAGCGAGAAAAGAAAATAAATCTGAAATGGAAAGCTAATAGAAAATGCCATTGAATTTTTCAGTTACCTCACAACTCTCAACTATGATACTTCATTCAACGGGACAACAATATTTGGATAATTAATTTCCAAAAAAATTTAACAAAGGATGATTTTATAAAAAACTAACACTGCAAGGTTTTTCTCCTCTACTTTCATCCAGAATTCCAAGGTCAATAAGAGGCGGTTTATGATATCCGCGTTTAAAACAAACAAAACAAGCTGTAGAACGTATAGACCCGTGATTTAAATTAGCCAAATAGCCAGAAGGTGTTGTTTCTATTCTTTCAAAGTCAACAGGCGTCTGAAAATTTTAAAAATAGAAAAATAACAAGGTTCAGCAATTAAATAAAATAAAACATGCGGAGTTACTGGTCATTTTATAAAAGTGTCAAATGGAAAAAATATCCAAAAAATTAAGACGAAAAATAATTTAAAAACCGAATTTTTGTTCAAAATTCAAAAATTATTTTTTTTAAATAAAACAAACCGTCTCTCCTGCACTTGAAATAACAACACAAATATCCGTTATTGGGGCCTTTGCTTCTCCATTATTTAATTTTCCATCAGAAGAATGAGCCGGAAATTCATCACAATTTTCTTTGTCATTTAATCCTGCCACAATGAAATATTCAAATAAAAGTCTGTCAGGACCATCTTGTAAATTACTATTGCTCATTTGTAAATAAAAATCTAAATTACTTTTAAAATTATTTAAAAATAAATAACAATCATCAAAAAAACTTCGCCTACGGCAAACTAAAATGAATAAGGCTAATTGAAAATAGTGTGGTTAGAGAAAAAAAGTTGAACGTTAATAATTGTGTCAGTTGAGAGCCAAAATAAGTACAGTATTTTGTGGACTTTTCGATACGGGAATTTTACTCTCTTTGTTTTATTGTTCACAAAAGTTTAAATTAAAAAATAAACATAGTGTTTTTCAAAATTTTAGCATAAAAAAGTCCTCGATAATTTGAAAGAAAACTTCTGTCTATCAGGCAGAGTGTCCCTTTCCAAATCGCCAAAAAGCTGCATGGCACCTCAAAAAAGGGCAAAAATGTGGCAATGCATAAAAAGGGGCGAGAAGGTCAAGTAGGGGAAAATGCCCCTAAAAGAGGGTAAAAGGGACACCCTGCTATCAGGCGCAAATCTAGGTGACAATAACTGGGGCAAACATTTTTATTTAATACATTTTGTTAAAATTTAATTTTTTTTAAATTATTGATTCTCTACATATATTCACTATTGCGAACAAATAATTTCCGATTGTTTTCAGTTTTTAGTATGTATCTGCGATAATTTGATCAATTAAATCTCTAATTGAATTAACTTTAACACTTCATTTTGTTTTATTTAAGTCAATTAGAGCAAACCCACTTTTTACTTTTATTCCGTTAATAATTATTACATCCAAAAAATATTTCTTTATGGATTATTAATTATTAAAAACAAAATTATTTAAAAATATTTATTTGTTTTACTCTTAAATCGTTTTTTACTCATTTACAATATATACCTTATTTATTCTAATTAAATGGGCTCTCCAATTGAATGGCCCTTTTTGGGGTATAAAAATAAAATGGCGGTCATTTAATTAAAATAAGCTTCTGATGTTTATATCTTAGCTTTCAGGCTATAAAAAAATTAAAAAATGGATGAAGAATTTTACACAATTCCACCAACATCCTTACCTCACGGAAACCAACCAAATTTTACCGAATTTCTTCACACTAATACAGTTAGTATTTTTGTTGATAGTGAATGGAATGGAGGGAATACTTCTTTGGAAGGTGTTATTCAGCATTGCCCAGCAATTTATATCCCAACTCCATTACAAATTCCCCAAGCTGTTAAACATATTTATAGGTGTTTTCTAAAAATAAAAAATCCCTTTCTAATTTCCATTAAAGCCGACTTGCTGCTTCCGCGGATTCACTAGACCATGGAGTTCCAGAATTGATACTTTCTCTTGTTGGAACAGGAAATTCTTTTAGTTTTGAAGTTTTTGGATTTTAAAATTATTAAAAAATATTTTAAATTTATTAGAACTCTGAAAGGCTTATTAACGGTCTTGGTAAGCTTTTCGGACGTTGTAGTCTTTGGGTAATTACAAGTGGAGAACATTCTGATCCGTTAGCTTATGCTGCTTCTAAAGCACTTCGTTCAGCTCTTTTACATAGAGATAACCCTGAAGAAACTTTAATGATTGGGATAAATTCTGCGGATATTGTAAATATTTTATTTATTATTTGAAGGAAGACATACTTTTATACCTAAAAATAATGCTGAGGAGATTTTCGGATGTCCGGAATCAAACCGAAAACCCCTTCATTTCTTTGGTTCGGCTACGAACCGATAACCCTAGATAATTTCCACCCAAATATTATTACATCTCCTTTAGCACAATATTTCAACAAAAGATCCAAACTTCCCACTAATAACGAGAAAAGAACCTCCTCATATGGTTGATGCTCGATTAAATACTTTATATCTTGTTTGGGGCAAAAATAATCCCACAGAAAGAAGTATGATGTTATTTCGTGCATGTGCTGCTATTAAACTTGCAATACCTCCTCCAGGCAATATTTAAAACGAAAAATTTTCAAAAATTTTCTTTATTTTTAAAGCCTTATTAATTGGGGTACCAGAAGAAAGAACATCAATTTCTGGTTCTTTTTCACATTCACAAACACCAATTTCTACCCAAAATTCTCCAGCTACTATTTTACTTTCTTCTTCACTTTCAAATGAAAAAAAGCCTTTAAATTTGGTTGTTTTTTGTGGAGTTACTTTATCTTCTTTGTTGGAATTGGTTATTTATGCACAATGTGGAGTGCCTTCACTTGTTGTTCAAGTAATTTCTTTGATAAAAATCCTTTATCTTATCCCATTATTCTTTTCTTATCACAACACAGCCCCTTAAATCCTAGATAACCTGAAATTGAAAAAAATTCTTTAATAAAAAGATATTTTATAAAGGATATAAGCGAATTATGTGTTGTTCTAAAATCAGCCTTTTCTCTCTTTCAAAGTGCTGTTTTTGAACACAATGCTTTTGAATTTTGGTTGGAAAGAGAATTACGTATGGTAGCTTTGGCTACTGCTGGGCGTTATGTGGAAAGTGAAATTATAGGTTTTTCTAATTTTTATTTTATAATTTTGATTTCTGATTAATAAAAAAATTTTAATATTGATTCAAGTACCATTTTATAATTTCAATTTTTTGAGTTAATCAACTCCCAAATTTTTAAATATTTTCAAGAATTTTCTAATTTGTAGAAGCTAAAAAATATGTATTACAACTTTTATTAACTATATCTACATCAGAACATTCATTGCTTGCTTTTCTTCCTTCCAACAATTTAGATAAAATTGGAGAGGAAGTACTTTAAAAAATATTTTAATTTCAAATCCTTTTTTAGGCCTTAGATTTACTTATAAGAAGTGCACCAGATGTAAATGAATGGGCTAGCCCTTTAGAATTATCGTGTAAATTGGGAGTTTCCCGTCCTTTAAATTTTATTTGTTTGGAAGGGCATTTTACAGAAAAACAATTTTCTTCTTTTCTTTTTGTTGTTTTAAATTTACCTGAAAAGGAAAGAGTAAATGTTTTGTATTCTTTATTAAAACAAAATATTCCTTTGCCTGTTAATTCTGAATTTCTAATTAAATGGGCTTGCGAAGCAGAAGAAAAGGTGAAAATTTCAATTGAATTTTGAAAAAAAAGTATTATGGATTTAGGAGAACACATTTCATAGTCCAAACGAAGTTTTCCCAAAATACCTTCGAAATACACATAGATTAAAGCATCACTATTTAGTTGATTCTAGGAATGCCCTTATAACCAGAGATAATCGGAATATATATCTTTAAATTATAAGTTTCCTTAACCCACGTTCACCGACCCAGTCCCCGACCAAATTTTGCTCCCCGACCCCGCACCCCGCCCGAAACAATTTGAAAACCCCCCAGCGTTCGGGGTGCAACCCTGCTTATAACCCGAGATATAACCGTTGTTAAATTTAAATCACTATTTTCCAATAATTAAGCATTTCTTCAATACTATCGTTCTGGGCCAATTACTAGGCTTACAAAATTTGGAACGACTGACTCATATTGATGAGAATATTGCTTCTAAATTTAATAATCTATTGGTGATTTTTTAAATAAAAATTTTTAATTTTGGAATGATAAATAAATTTAGACAGAATTATCTGGTGGTCTTTGTAACAATATTTTCCCATCAGAATTATTTAAAATTTCTCAACAAAATAATTTATCAATAACAAAATTCCAACAACAACAACAATTAAAGGATACAGAAATTCCTTTTAGAATATTTACTTTTTGGTCTTTATTTTTACTTCAAACAGAAGATGTTTTAATTTTTTGTTCTTTTTCTAACGAGCCAATAGCCCTTTCTTTAATTTTATCAAAAATTTCAAAAGAATTGGCTAAAAAATGTAATCAATGGATTCTATATAAAAATAAATTGAAAAAACTTTCTTTTAAATTAATTAATTTTGCTGTTAAATTAATTGATTGTGCTTACTCTAAAAATCAAAATAAAGCTTATAATGCTTTATGCAGACCTTTACCTTCAGTTTACAAAAGATTGACGTTGATTCAATTGGCTTTTGAAGTGAGTTAAAAAATACTTTAAGTTATTCCCTTGTAGAATCTTAGAGTTCGAGACTCAAATGGACCCAACTTAGATATTCTAAAAGTCAAAGTTATTGGCATGAGTAGAGTAACTTACTCTGTGCTCTCTAACATTGTTTTTTGAGGCATGTAATTTTCAAACAAGTATTAAGAATTTTTTATGTTTCAATTTTATTATAAGACTAATAATCTATTAAGATTAACATTCCTTTAATTATTTATTTTTTAGAAATAATTTTTTGACAATTAAAATATTATCCTCCAAATTTGGGAGTATTTTATGCTTGGTAAAATTTTATTTTTCTATTTTTTAGTATTTTTCCAGAAGGCCTACTCGTTTTTAAATTTATAATTTAATTTTTTAACATTTCCTCAGACAAATGCCAAAGCCTTTATTGCACACGAATGTTGCCAACATTGGATTCAACAATTTCTTTATGGCCAAATACAAATACAAACAATTTCCAACCGTTATATAATTCCTGATTGGATTAAAATTTTATTAAGTTTTTTATTTGTTTTTCCGTCAATTTTTTGGATTCGGCCAATTAATCAAGTAAAATGAGGATCTTCTATAGAATTTAAAAAATTTTAAAGGAAAATTCTTCACAAAAATCATCTTCGGCAAATAAACTTTTAATAAGCCCAACAGTTGCTTTATTAGAAGATGGTCGTCATCCAAGAAATGTTCGTTCATCTTCTGCTAACAGTATCCACTCGATTAGAAGTGCTCAATTTGGTGGAGTTATTAGTGGAAGAGAGGGAGAAGATCGAAGATCTAGTCCTGGAGTTTTAATTCCTGTTGATACTGTAAATATCGGAAATGAAGGAATTGATGAGAATGATCAAATAAATCAGGTAAAAGGAGAGATTTTTGACTAAATTATTTATTTTTAAAATTTGATTCCGAACCGTTTTTAAATCTTCAAAAAATTTTATAAGATTAAAATTCCCGATCAAAACTTCTTTAACAAATCGCGCTAATCTCTAACAATTATAGTTAAGTACCTATTTTAGTTTATCGAAAGGAGTGTCCTTTTTCTTAATTTTACAAGTTCAGAAAGGAAAATCAGAATTAACCTTAATCTTTAAATAAAGATTTCATTCTCTTTCAAAACACATTTATTTATTCAACACAATACAGATTACAATAAACATAGGGAAAATTAACAACAAATTATATTTACAATTATTACAAGCACAAATATATTTACAAGGCAGAAAAGAATCCAGAAATTATTTCCCTAATATTATATATCCATTCTTTGAATTGCCATATTTATTTATTAGTTCTCCATCCTTCCCTTCTCTATCTTCTCTTCTTTCCACTGTGTGCCGTCTCCGCCGATTGCGATTTGCCCGCCTTTGTCTTGGACTTCTTCGCCGCACTCTTCTTTTGCAATTTGCGCATGTAGCTGCCCGCGAACTGAAAAAAATTAACAAAAATTTTTTTGGAAAAATTTCTAAGGACAAAATCTAAAACTTACATATCCAGCAACGGAACAGAGAATAGCAAAGATCAAATAGGCAATCAGATCCATTGTTGATAGCTTCCGCTTCTTTTTAGTTGTCGACCGGAAACACTTCTCTTTGGCAGCGATTGATTAGGCTTTGATTTGATTATTCGGGATATATTTTTGGGCTTTTATAGCTTTACTTCGGTAAATGTCCAGTTGACTCCCCACCTGTCCGCAAAGAGAATGCGCATTTTTCCTTCCTTTTCTTGCATTTTTTTCTGCAAAGAGTGGCGCCAATTTTTCGCTTATGTATGGTATGCCCTTTGACTCATGAAAGGATAAGTAGAGAAAAATAATTAAATTTTTATTTATAAATAAATTTATTTTATAAAAGGTAATCAAATAAGATGGAACATCATGCGATTTGGAATGGTTCGGAATAGGGTTTTTTGAACAAATCGGTTATTAACTAGTACTCCCGGTTTTTGGCTAATTCATATTTCAAAAACGCGGTTTTCGTTTTTGAGTTTTGGTCATATACCGGTTTATTCTGAGGCCGATCAATCTAGAAGACGATCAATCTAGCATTTAATAGAAGCTGATTTGCCAAAATATCAGACAGTCTTTATCCTTTTTATTAATATATTTTTTCCACATATCTTTTCATGAGTCAAAGGGCATATGAGGGAGAGGAAAAATGGGCGCCACTCATTACATCATAAAATGCAAGAAAAGGAGTGAAAAGTGCGTTTTCTCTTTGCGGACAGGTGGGGAGTCAACTGGACATTTACCCTTTACTTCTTTAAAATTAAAAAATTATTTCGCTCTACCGTTAATTTTAAACTTGTCAGATAAGCACAAATGACAACAGTACAGTAACTGACTCGTTTCTCCCTTCAGCATCACAACTCCGTTCAATAGAGATTAGAAAACCTCGTAATGAATTACCTTCTGCAGGACAACGTCAAAAGCCTGGTGATGGTTTAGGAAGTCGACGACCTAGTCCAGATAGACGTTCTCTTATGTTTTGTGATGGTGGTGGAAGTGGAAGCCTTTCTGAACGAAGTAGAAGGTGAAATTAAAATTTGGCTCGGGATATTAGTTATCCAATATTCTTCAGTTAACATTAAACCTTTAAAGGCAAATAGCCTATTAATTAAAATTAATCACTCTCCAATATCAATTTTAACCCAAAAACACACAAATATATTTTCAGACAAAGTCGTTCAAGTCGTTTATTACTTGGTTCAAATTCTGCTGGGGGAGCTGGAGGAATTGATGGGACTACTTCCAATTTTCGATTACTTTCTCCACAAATTTCTTCCTTATTTTTACCTTCAATTATTAATACACCAAAAACTTTATCTTTATTTTATTCAACACCAATAGTTAAATATTGGTTATCTTTAGTGTTCCGTTTAATTTATTTGATTTTTCTTTGTTGGGCTGTTGCTCAGCCGGGATGTTTTTTATCTGGATGGATTGAACAATTTATTTGGCTATGGGCTTTATGTTGGGTTATTGACTCTATTTGGGTAAATAATTTATTAACTCAAATTTTTACAAACCTGGGTTGGATAATAAACATTTAATTAGTCTTTGATATTAATATTAGAGATTGAGTAATTAAACGGAGGAAAATATGGGAGAATTATCTGATTTCGAATATACGTAGTTAACCAATAAATTTTCAATTGAAAGTTAGTAGTTTGATTATTTTGGATTGACTTTTGTAAAATATAGGACGATCTTTAAATGTTGGATATTCATTTCTGTATTAAAATCTAATATTTTAATGAATTTACTCAAGTAATTTTTAATAAATATTTATTACAACATATTTATTTATTAAACCTATTGGATTTTTTCTAATTTTTTTGGATTTTTTATTTGATTTTTTGGGACCCAAATCCAATTTCTTGGATGGGAAAAAATTCTAAGATTTTTTTGTCCGGTCTTGAGTTTTGGAATTTTTTTCATTTAGGTTTATGTTTGTTGGTCTCAACAAATAAATTGGAATGGCAAAAGATTAAATATATTAATTGATATAATTATAACTTCAACATTTCTTCTATTACTTTTAATTATTCGTTTATTAATTACCTCATCAATTGGAAGAAAAAATAATTCTTCCTCTTTTTCTTCATTAACTTATGAATTAAAAATATTTTGGTCATTATTTATGCTATTTGAATTTATTAGAAGTTTATATATTTATTTGCCTTTATTTAAATTAATTGGGCAATTATTTATTAAAATTAATTTAATGTTTTGGAAAATTTTGTTGCCGTTTTTGATGTTTTGTTTATTATTTATAATTATTTCTACAATTGTTTTAAAATCTGTTTTGTTTCCTGATCTTAGTGCACAACCTGTTATTATGGGAGAAACTTTTGTTTGGACTATTAAACAGTTTTTTGCGACAGATTTGAGTAAGTTTAATGGGGAAATTGATAAAAGTTTAACCGGTATATTACCTGGAATTATTGGTTAAACAAAAATAGCAGATATGTTAGGGTTCAGTCTCAGTCGACTGATCATTACTAGGGGGTACTCATTGATTTGAGAACTTCTCATTGTAAGGTAAGATTTTCTTTTCAAACCCAAGGAAGTATAAATAAGCTTCGAACGTACATATAAATTAAGGAATTTCTTGCTGATTTTAAATTAAGGAATTCCGGTTTTTTTGTTTTTTGTTTTAATCATTTCTATTCATCAAGATGAAGGCAATTTCTTTACAATTACTCCAAAAATTTATAACTTTTTCATTAATTTATTTATTTTAAAGATATTTTCCATCAATCCACTGAATGCCAACGCCAATTGCTTCCCGAAAACAGACCTTATTGCCAAGCCTTAGGTGGATATGCCAATCCACGCTGTCCATCCCAACATTGGCTTGCCAAATTTTCTTTGATTGAATTTTTTGTTCTTTTAAATTTGTTTTGTTGGCCTTTACTTTTAGCAATTTTGATTAGTGCCTTATTTAAATTAGACAAAAAGGAAGTTGAGAATATTTGGTTAAATCAGAGATATTCTTTAATAATTAGTTTTAGGTAAAGATAGAATATTTTCAAAATGAGGATTATTCTTCTATTTTAAGTTTACGTCCATGTTTGCCACCTCCATTAACTCCTATTTTCTTGGCTGTTCTAGCTTGTTGCAAATTTGGTGCTTCTGGTAGTTTTTCTTGTTATTCACAAAATGGATTAAAAAATAATAATGATCCGATGAATACTTCACAAAATTTTGGAAAAAGAAAATATTGTACTGTTTACAAAAACCCTTCGGTTTATTGAAATCACGAAAAATAGATTTTTATATTTAAGGTACAAAGTTTTCGTTATCGTTCAAGTGGTGGATTTTGGCGTGATTTAGCTATAAATTTATGGAATGAATTAAATAAAGAAAATAAAATTGAAGAAATTAAACAAAAAACAGAAATAGATAAAACAAGTCTTTTACTCGATTTTAGTGTTTTTACTCAACGATTGGAAACAGAAAAGGAATCAAGATGGGAATATATTAGAGATACATCAAGATTAAAAGTAAATCTAAAATAATCCTTTAATCCTATTTCTTCCTTATATATCTTCATATCTCACTAATCCTAGCAAAGTCCAGTACAGTATTAAATCTTTGTCTCTTAGAGATTCCATCTTTATTTTTAGGTCAATCCATCTCTACGTAATTGGCTTCGACTTTTACCTCATTACCGTCCAAACAGTTTTTCTCTGCCAATTGACCAACTTCCTATAGACTTACAAAAACATGCTCAGGATGCCTCAGTTCAAAATCTTTTAGATATTGGCTGTCAATGGAGGCAAAAAAGACTTTTCCAATTTTTATCCTTAATTGATAAAGGAAAATCTGAAAATATATTAAATGATGGAATTATGTTAAATGGAAACGGGTTACCTTTAAATCCATCAGGACGTTGTGGTCTTGCTGGTCGCGGCAATTTTCCCCGTTTTGGACCTAATCGTTTGTTTCTATACACACTTTTTCAACGTTGTGATATTAATGATTCTATTGACAATTCAAGCAATAATTCAAGTCTTAGTGCCAATTCAAATGACATTAACTTAATTAATGTAAATTTATATTTCATTTTAATAGACCACGCTTTATTTAAAGTTATCCTAATTATTCTGGTCGACTATACTTTCCAAATGGGGAGATAGGCCAAAGCGTCTAAAAATATTTTGGGGTATTAAAAATTATTTTTTTCTAAGGTACTCGTTCAAATGCCTTCTGGTCGACTTCCATCACGTTGGGCACTTTCTCCTGGTCCTCAAATAGTTGACGAATTCCTTGCCCAGCTACTTCTACAACTTGGACTACCCGATCCGGATATACACACAATTAGTTGTAAAACTAATCTCTTGCCAGGCCAAAGAGATGGACCTATAGCTGTCATTAGTGGAGAAAACCTTTTATCTGGGGGAGTAATGTTAGAGAATTTATGGCCAGAATGGCCTCAGGATACAGATAATGCATGGACTGAGATAAGAATTTTTTATATTAGTTGGAGAGAATTATAATATCAGAACTGAATAATCTTTAATAAATATTAACAAATCATTCTAATACTCCCCCCCCCTTCCTCCTTAATTTTTTAAATTACCTAGTATTTTTAAGTATTTCTCTGGGCTGTTGATCTAAGCGATTTCTCTCAATTACATCAACTTGCAAAGGATGGGGAACTTGCTTGGAAATTAAACAGTGAATTATCTACTGGAATGGGCAAATTATTAAACAATGCTTTGGCTTTATTTTGAAATTGGGAAGAACTAAGAACTACAAAACAACATAACTAAGAATTTTAAGAAGATACGTCATACTCTGCTTTATGTCTTTAAAAGTTAAATAGATTTTAGAAATCTTTTTAAAATCCAGCGCTATAATATTTATATTCTTCCCATACTCCTTTTTGAACGTTTTCTAAAATCTGACGTAGAGTTTTGACAAAATATTTTTTAAATAATTTTGTGATTTAGACTGTGATAATATAAAACATTTTATTTTCCCTCCAATTTAAATAGTCTATTAATAAAGTGATAAAGATAAATATAGAATTTTATTTGTGTTATAAGAAAAATTTTTTTATAAAAATTCACAAATCAAAATCAATTACTAAAATTAGTAAAACAATCAATATTAGGTACTAAAAAAATAAAACAAAAGATTTTATTGACTGATAAAATAAATAAAAATCTTCTGGAAAAAAATAAGTAGGTGTTTTCATGGTCATCCAAAAATATTCAAGGTTAAATTCTTTTATTTTTTTAAATTCCCAAAAAGGGCGAGAATATCCACATTATTACAATAATTCCCTCAAATTTAAATTTCAAAGAATTTTAAAATTAAGAAGGAAGAAAAAGGCGTTTTTAAATTTAATAATTTAAATGACAAAATTTAATAAATAAAATAAATTCCAATTAAATCATGTGTTCGCCAAATAATTTAAATTTTTTAAACTTTTTAATGTGAAAATTGATCTGTTTTAAAAAATATTCCGCCCTTTAATTATCTGAACTTAAAATAGTCAAATAAAAAGGGCAGAAAACTTGAAAAGTTTGACATAATTTTTTTCTCATAATTACACTAAATTTGGAATACTCTTAAAGTTAATTTTTTCAAGTTTGTTATATAATTAAAACTTTAGTTACAAACTTGAAAACTTGAATTTATTTTAATTTTTAATTAAACTTTAATTATTACAAACTTGAATAAGTTTTGATAATAAGTTCGAATAATAAGTTCAAACTTGAATAAGTTTAATTTATTTTGTATTTTTAAGTTTGTAATATTTAAAGTTTACAAACTTGGAAATTGTAAACTTGAAATTATTAAGTTTATTTTTAATCAAGTTTTAAATCTCAAGTTTTATTAAGCCTGTTATTACATATTAAACATGTTTTAAGAAATGTTTCTAACCTATCGTTTTGTTTATTTCCAAGTTTGTAATAATTAATAAACTTGCAAGTGTGTAATTAAATTTAAAAATAGTAAGTAAAAAATATCAATTAAATAAGTAAATAAAATGAAGAAATAAAACAAAATAAGATTTAAATAATTACAACAACAACAGGTCTTTTAAAAATGTTTATGCGCATTTTTAATGGCTTTAAGGAAAATAGGAGAAAATATAAAAATAAAAAACAATAAAAATAAATAATTGAGGTCGACCACCTTGTCTTTCGTCCTCGCTTCTAAACGCTGATTTTTCTTTTTGATTTGCTTTATATTTTTATAAAACACAAAAACAATCAAAATCACCGTTCCTTTTCTTTTGTTAAAAGACAGACATTTTTAGTTTTAAATATTTTTCTTTTTAATTATTAATTATATTCTCTCACGTTTTCCTCCAAAAATTATTGTTTTTTACCTCTCTTCATAATTTTTTAAAACTTTTTATTTTCACATTTTCAACTTTTCCGTATCCAAAATAATTATTTTTATTTTTATTTACGTAAAATGTCTATTTATTTATTTTTTGGGACCATAATTTCTTTTAGAGCAACATTATTTATTAAAATAAATAAAATTTCACTTTTATATCTTCGCATCAGCTGGAAAACGAGAGTAATATTTAGTCAAAACGTTTCCCTATTTTTACACTTTTACCTGGCCATCACTGCACTTTTCTTGCGCAACCTACCTATCTTTTCCTTCTTCCTTTTTTGATTAGCGGTTCCCTTCAAACAAACGGTTCTCTTTTTTCCTCAATTGCTTCAGGCTCTTTTTCACACAACAACAGCTGTGGTGATCATTTTATTTGGTCTCGATTATTCGACCCGATTGACTGGCGCCAATCAACAAAAAAAGTATCATCATCATCTTCTTCTTATTTTCTGTCTCTTTTCATATAAGGGCCAATTCCCCCCGTTCCGACCTAAATTTTATTTTATGGTTTCTTTTTATTTTTGCCATTACTTTTTCTTAAAATATTACAATTATAAGCATATATTTCACTTTTTATTAGTTTAATATTATATTAGTCTTCATTATTTCCCTATTAAAAAATTATTTTTTGTGAGGAAGAAAAAAGTGGGTAAAACATTTTGCGGTTAAACACTTAATTGTTCCGCTTTTATGACAACAATGATCCGATGTATATCGATGATTTTATACAAGCACAGCATGAAATCTGTTGGTTTAAATTTTTATTTTATTTTTAAATTATGAGTAATAATGTAATTTATAAATTTAATTAGGTAAAAGAGATTTAAAAAACTTAATTCATTTCTTCACTTTAGTTGACATTCAAAGATCTCTCTTGATATGTATTGACCTAAATCCTTATTTTTTGATACACGGGTCTGAGAGTTAAGATAGGTATACCTTATACCTTAGTATACCTTATACCTTAGTATACCTTATACCTTATATATTTCTTATCTTGCTTCAAGTTCCAATTTGTTCTAGGTTACCATTATTAAACTACGCATCATATAGAAACTTTTAACACAAATCTGACTGTCCCTAATAAATAAGATTACCGTATTTACTCGAATAATTCCCTTCCCTTGAATAATTCCCCATGCCACGGATGGGTTGAAAAAATAATTCCCCATGGGAATTAATCGAGTAAATACGGTATCTCATTCGTTACTCTTAACAAATACTTAATTTTATTGAAATGAAATTCTTTTTAGGCACCTCCCTTTCTCCTCGCCATTCTCCTATCTTTTCTCATATTTGGTACAAAAACAACAGTAAATGCCCAGCAATTGCCAAGAGGAGATACAATCTTCCCTGTTAGCTGTTATTTAAATGTTATGATTATTTTGGATCGATCAGACTCTGTTCTTGGTGGATTCAATCGAAGTAGGGACTTCGTGTTGGCAGCATCTGAAGAACTAAATATTGGACCACATGCACACAGTGTGCGTTAAATTTTTAAGAAATTATTTTTTAAAAATATTCTGCGAATTACATATTATTTTTGAATTTTCTACAGATTATTTTTGATTTTTTATTCTTCCTTGTATTTTTCTTTTTTTTTGACTTTAATAATTTTTTACTATGCCATTTTTGTTTTTTCTAGTTTTTATTAATAATTTTTAACTTATTATTGTTTCAGGTTTCTATGATTACTTACTCAGGCAACCATTACAGGAGAGAAATTTACCCATGGAATTTTGCAAAGAATAATGAAGTAAAATAAAAATACTATTTTTCTCAAAAATATTTAATAATAATTTTTTAGGAATTTAAAAAAATAGTAAAAGATATCAGACCAATTGGAGGAACAACAAATACATATGAAGCAATGAAACTTGCTGTTAAATTAATGGAAACAAGAAATAAAACAATTCCAACATTAGTTATGGTTGTAACAGATGGAAGAAGTGCAGTTGACCCAAAAGAGCCTTCACAACAATTACAACGAATTCCAAATACTTGGGTATTTGCTGCAGCTACCGGTGATCCCCATTTGGCAAATAAGTGAGTTTTTATATTGAGATAATAATTTAAATTATTTAATGAGGAGCTGGGGCGGGCGCAACAGACAATTTCCAAAAACACAAAACGCAACGCAAGGCCAAAAATCAACGCAAAACGCATTGCGTCCTCCCTTGATGAGAATTACAACTAGTTAATATAATTACAATTAGCTTTCGTTGGTATCGACCCATGGAAAGCCCTTGTATTATCTGGCTTGTCATAGTCGCTACTAAAGAGATTTTATTTCCTTAATTTATTTTTCTATTTTTAATTAACCCTTTTCCTAATTTCAGGTTCTCAAAAATTTTTTAAAAAATTATTACCACCCATAAATTAAAAGTTAATTAATTTTTTAGTCAATTTAAAGAAAAACTTTTAAAATAGTAAAAAAATAAATTAAGAATTAAAATTAAAATTAAAAAATTCAACGAAAATAATATCTTTGTGTAATAAAAAAAGTAAAAAATCAAAAAAGGGAACCCGCTAAATGTTCCTCGTTGGAAATGTCAATTAATCATTTGCCGATAAAAATAAAATTGGGGAAATAAATAAACGAGTTAGTAGCGTTACTCACAACAATAGCTATAAACGAATCGGGGTCTTAAGTTTTGAGTTGTTAATGTTTTGTTTTTCAAAAAGTTTGTAAAGTTGTCAGAGTTTTTAATAAGAATGTTTAGCAAGTTTTAATATTTTTAACTACCTAAATGTAGGACATTTTCTAAGGCTTTGTTTGTTGCTAATGTTTTGAGAGGTTTTGTTGTAGTTTGTTAATGTTTTGAAGTTATTCTTATTTTAATTGAAGAACATTTAGTATATTTGTATGAAACTGATAGGAAACTTTTAAAATATTAGACAATAGAACAAAAAAATTTAAAAATTCTATTGCGCGTTAAACAATCATTACTGCGCAGATCCTTTGTTAACCAATCAAAAACAAAAAGCAATTGATTTATTTTTTTAAATTATTTTTATAGAAGAAACCCCTTAAATAAATATTAAAATATCCAAAAAAATATTTATTTTAGACAAGAATTACTTGATATTGCCGGACAAAAATACCATGTTATTATGCAAAGTGGCAGAACACAGGCTGAGGCTGTCACGAGGAAATTACTTCGAGAAGCACAGGAAAAGTGTAAAACAACAACTACAACTTCCACAACGACAACAACAACCACAACCACGACTACTACAACAACAAATCCATTTACGGGATGTGAACAAGATTTGGTTCTTGTAAGTTTATCTCTTCTAATTTTGACTAGAAAAATTTTTCCTTCAAAGGTTTTTGACTTTTCTACAACTACAGAGCCTGTCTATAAAGATTATATCCGTCTTGGAGAACAACTAGTCTCTCAACTTTATGTTTCTCCCAGACATACACGTGTTGCTCTTATAACTTTTAGTAGTCCAGGCAAAACACATACTCATTTTGATTTGAAACAGTACAAGACTGGAGATCAGGTAGATTTTGAAAATTTGCTAAACTAAAAATGTTTTTAGGTAATAAAGGCAATACATGATGTTCAGTATATTGGGGGACTTACTTCTGTTGGTATGTAGTGTTAAATTTAAAATTATTCTTATTAAAAATCTTAATTTAGGTCAAGGAATTCATGAAGGTGCAAAACAGGCAGACGTTCACAAAGGGGGGAGACCCGGGCTTGCAAATAAAATAATGATTATTTTCACTGATGGATGGCAAAATAAAGGACCTGTAAGTTTGAAAAAATTGTACCTAAAAATATCAATTAAATATAGGATCCAGGTAAAGAAGCAAAATTGGCAGAAGCTCTAGGCTTCAAAATTTACTCTGTTTCTGTTGTTGTGAGTTTATTTAAATATTCGAATCTCTATTTTATCCTTTCCCTTTCGGTCTCGATTTATTAATCACTCAATATTTTGATTTTATCCTCGACAACTCTGATAATTACACTTACAATGTGATTGGGGTTGGGGTTTTCGAGTTGGCCTGACCTTCGAGTCATTTTTTTGGGCTTCATTTTTATCGGGCCGGTCCGAGTCTTTTTCGAGCCAAAATTCGATGCCCGACTCGAACTTTCGGACCGGGCCCCCAACCCTAATTGTGATAACCTAGAGATTCTCTTCCAAAATCAAATAAATAACCCTATATTTCCTTCCTTTTTTCTTCAGCCAACAAAAAAAGATGCCATAGCAGTAAATGAAGAAACATTAGAAGCAATTGTACAAAGTCCACAAACAGAGCACTTTACTGACAAAAATTTCCCTCAATTAATCAACATTGTGAGAATATTTTTAAACAAATAATTTTTTTAAATAAAAATAGGTTCGCCAGAAAAATTTAAAATGCTTTGGACATCTTTAAATTCAAATGAAGTTACAGATTTAATTTTTTTAGAAAATTTTGTTTTGATTTTTAAAATTGGTTATTTAATTCTAATTTTATCCAACCCAAATTTTGTTTCCCTAATTTTCTCCCAGTTGCATAAATGTGAAATTTGAAAACGGAATTGGCTAAAATTTATTATAACACTTCCTGCAATTCGTCATAACCCCTTCAAAAATGATTTAAGACCAACCCAAGAACAAAGATTTAAATTTACTTTTTGATCGAATTAATGGGAAATTAAATTTTTTTAAAAAATTTCAAATCCATTCGTAGAAAATTTAATTACTACATATAAATTCTGTTTTCAAATTTATATTTTTTAATTCAAATATATAATTTCTAATCATTAATTTTCCATCATTTTTAGATTTTGTCCTTAAAAATAATTTTTTATTTAAAAAATAACATTAAATACCTCTATCTGCTCAAATTATTTTTATTATTTTATGACGTTAATTTCTTAATTATATATAGAATTATATGTTTTAATGGATAACTATTTCATTATATATTAATTTCCACCTGTATTTCCTATATAAATTTACATTTTAAATAAAAAATAGACATAATTATTAAGTATTAATTATCGTTTTTCAAAATATAACTTGATTAACGTTATTTTTTAACGTGATGAAAATAAATATTTTATATCAATAATCTATCTATTATTATTTTAAGTAAGTGGAATGGAATAGATAAACGAAAAGCTGAATTATTTAGGTAAATCTTGGTCACATATCCGAAAATCCAATGAGTCAATTTTCAGCTTGATTCAAAATGCTTCTAAAACTTCCAAATTTTTTATTGATATACATAGAAGATTTGCTTTGTGAAATATTTTCTAGACAAATAAATCAATTTAAAAATTTATATTAATTAAAAACTCCTCAACTCCCCCCAATAAAGCTTTATATTAAATTTTTTTGTTTTTCCTCTTGTCTAATAACATTGTTGTTTTTAATTTTGTAAGTGTAAGCTGATTAAATATTTTGTAATGATAGAAAGGCAAGAGCGCGCAGGAAGACGCAACACACCTTGCGCTGCTTTATTTAAATAAACTAATGATTGGCCAGTAAAAATAATTATTTTATTTTTAATTATTTTTAGACCTAATAAACATGAATCTTGCATCAGTAATTATTTATATATTAATGTTAAAAGTTTTATTTGTTAATTGCTCGGATGATGAATATAGGCTTTTACAAGATTTGAAGGAGCGTTATGATCCAAGTAAATTCGAAAAAAAAATTTTTTTTTGTTTTATTTTTTTAAAAGTTGAAAGGCCAGTACAGAACCATACAGAAGCGGTTAATTTAGCAAAATAAAAAATATTTAAAAATATTTTCCTTAGGTTAAAGTAAGCCTTCATCTTTATTTACAACAAATTGTTGATGTTGTAAGTATATTATATTGAGATATAAATTTGAAAATATATCTATTTAGGATGAAAAGAATCAAGTTTTAACAGTAGTGCTATGGGAGGAATTTCGATGGTTTGATTATAAAATGCGTTGGGACCCTCGAGAATATGGGGGAATAAAAAGTTTTTAATTTCAGAAATAATTCCTCTTACTTTTTTTTAATTTTAAGAAATTCGATTTCCTACTGGAACTCTCTGGAGACCTGATGTTCTTCTCTTTAATAGGTCTATTTAATTAAGGAACCAGGACTTTTAATTAATTTTCTCTCTTTTTTATAGTGCTGATGAGAATTTTGATGCTCGATTTGATGTTAATTTTGTAGTTAATAATGATGGAAGGTTAAATAAAAATTAGTTAATTTTATTATCAAAATTCTTTAGTATTTTATATTCCCCTCCAGCACTTCTTAAATCATCGTGTGAAATAGACATAACTTGGTCAGTTCCTTAAAAATAGTAATTTTTTATTTTTGAGGTTTCCATTCGACGAACAAATGTGTTTATTAAAGGTAGGTAAAAAATATATATTTTGAATTTAATTTAATAAAAAGTTTGGACCCTGGTCACATCAAAGATATGCTTTAGATTTATGCATTGACAGAGAGGGTATGAATGACGAAGACAAACATAAACATAGCATTGGTTAATTAATTAAAATAAAATTTAAAAAATAAAATTCTTTTAAAAGATACTTATTATTATGTAACTAATGGAGAATGGGATTTAATTTCAACACCTGCAAATATTTCAACTCCTCCTTTTGGCGATCAGGGGGATTCTTTTATTGAATTACATTTTGTAAATTATAACACTTATGGTCGGATCTCGATAATATCACGTCTTTTCTTGGCTCAATTTTTCCCCCAAGGGGGCGTCTTATCAAGATTCGACTTTATTCTTAAATATTTTATATTTTCTAATTAAAGTATATCCACATTAAACGAAAAATAATTTATTATGGAATGAATTGGATTGTTCCCAGTGTTCTTTTTTTGCTAACCAATGTTTTGGGTTATATAAATTTTTTAAAAAATTTAATTAAAATTTTTAAAGGTTTCACTATGCCCGCGGAGTGTGGCGAAAAAATAACCTTACGTTTGTTTGTTGTATTAAATATCCATTATTAAATTTATCAAAATTCTTAGAAACAACAAATCTTCTTTCTGTAACAGTTTTTCTCGGAATGGTACTTTAATAAAATTATAAAAAATAAAAAAATTTTCAAAAAAGGTTGCAGATATAACTCCCCCAACTTCAGATTCTGTTCCAATTATTGCCGCCTTTTTTTCTATTGCAATGGTGATTCTTGGTTCTTCAATTATTTTTACTTTACTTATAATTAATGTACATTTTCGTTCTCCTCGCACTCATAAAGTAATTCTAAAATATTCAAAAAAAATTCCCGAGTTTCTTTAGATGACGCCATGGGTTCGCACAATTTTCTTAGAATGGTTACCTTGGCTTTTACTTATGAATAGACCGGTTATTTTTTTCCGAAAAAAAATATTTTCAAGAAAATATCAGGGGAAACAATTTCGAAAACCAAAACGTAAACGTCGAACACCTCGACAGAGGCCTGGTACTTGGACTTCTGAACATCAGATTGAATTACAGCAAAGAGGAGAACATTTAAAACAACGTGTTTTCCCTGTATATTTAATTAGTCTTAAAAATTATTTAAAAAAATTTTTTATAGAAAACATTACAAACTAGCGATTCAAGTACAAGTCGAGGCTCATTAGGAGTTGGTTTACATCGACAACAATATACACAGGAATCGACTATAATGATGGAAAAACCCTCAACTCCTTTATTAACAGCAAATTCAGGCAGCAAAGATAAAGGAAAGAGAATTCTTGAAGGTTGGACTTTGAATGGATTTTAGAAAAATTCAGAAAAAATTTAAAGACCGACTCGATTCTTTTTTAATATCCGAATATGGAACTACAGAATTATTACGTTCAACACTTCGTGAACTTTCAGATTATTTACATTTATCTCAACAAAAAATGGATGAAGAAGAAGAGGAGGAGGAAGCAAAGGCTGACTGGCGTTTTATGGCAATGTCTTTAGATAGGGCCTGCCTTTTCCTTTATGCCTTCATTTGTTGTGCTCTCCCCCTTTGGATATTTGCTGCAACGCCAAAATATATATTACCTATAGATCCAACAAAAATTGTTAATCCTAAAGCTTTATGTTCATTTAAAGAAAATTAGTAGTATATGTATAGTTAAAAAACAATGGACTCCACAGAAAAAAAATATATAAATGAATGCAAATAAGATAAAATTATACACAATAAAACGAATGCATGGTTAGAAGTAGGAGACCGGACCGAGACGAGATCTCGATCAAAAATCTCGGTTAACGAGATCGAGAATTTTTTGAAATCTTTATTCTCGTACGACACTCCCAGTCTCTAGTTAGAAGTTAGACTATAAAAGGAGTTAAAATCCCCCATACTCAACCAAACATTCAACACAACTCTACAAACATCAATATTGTCTACTTCCAAAACAACAACACTCCATGTTCGTCCGCTGCCATCTTCCATCGGGACTTGACACCGGCCCTGGGACAAGGAAGTCGTCAACGCTGTGCTCCTTGGTGCTGATGCTGCTTGTCATCGCAACATTCCTTGTGTGTGAAGTGCCTGGACAGATGAAGGAGGAAATCGTCGGACTCGGCAATCACAAAAGGACTGGCAACCAAGTGGAGCTCAACCCGTACGCTGTCAAAGTCACAGAGAAGAACTTCAACTTGAAGGAATACAGATATCGGTTTGAGGACGCCTGTGATGTTAAGATCGAGAAAGGCTACATGTGAGTTTGCTTTGCCTCTTATTTGTAATAAAAATTCTTTTATTTTTCAGCGAGCTTCAGTACAACGAGGACGGCAAGGGATGCATTGTAGATTTGCTCAGCAAAAACAAGGACAAGATCAAGTTAACAGCTGTAGTGAGGAACAAGCGAGGAGGGATCAAAAAATGCCTTGTTGTAGCTGATCATGAGAGGAATAGCTATAATAATAGGTAAATTTCTTAATTTTTGTTTCAATTCTTTCCCTGATTCCATTTGTTGTAATTTTTAAATTTACAGTATGTCCTTCGTCTACGGTGTGAACAACAAAGTCATTGAGATGCTCAACAAAGGGCCAAACAAGGATTCTGGGACGTGTAGAAAAAACTGCGCAGCATGCATGCCATGGACGGTTTCATGGAGCCGATCTACATCGAAATTTGTTTATGCTCACACCTATCTAGGTATATAACTAATCGAGGTTTATATTTAATTTTGATGTTTATTGCAGTTGCCGAAAAGAAGCGTGGCCTGAGTCGAACAAATGATCTCGAAGATAGTGAAATGACCTTCGATTTGGAGATAACAGCGGCGGACAAGTTCACGATGCACTTCCCAGGAAAACAAGAATTTGATCCGAAGGGGACTGTTTGTGGTCCAGAGTCAAGTCAAAGCGTCAATCCTAAAACATGGACCATCACGAACCCGGAGTTCCAGAGACAACATCTTCTCGTTTTCAGCCTGCTTTCACGGAATGCAACTCGTATATTCAATGAGGAAGGGATTACGTCTGGAAAACCGTCCGTGCCTTACTGTGAGCTCTTCGTTCAATTTGTAAGTTTTGTACAAACTTTTTGAGAAACTACAGCCAATTTTATTCAATTTAGAACAGACAAGACTACGAGCTGCTTTATGTTAACCCTCAGCCAGCGACAATAACTACTACCACCACAAAAGTCACTTCAACAGAAACAACTCCTGAGACTTCAACATGTGCTCCTTGTCCAACATCGACAGCTCTAATGACTACAACAACTGTGCTCAAAAATATCTCATCACCAGCGGTTAAGTGTCCAGCGGAAGGCAAATGCCCGCAAAAATCCTGTGGATGGCCAAACGTGCTTTATGTGATTTTGAGTGTCGTGGGTGTAATCATCATTGGAATTCTGGGATGGTTCACATGGAACTGGGTGGAGGTGAATTCTGAGAAAAGGGCGGCGCGTGCAGCCAAACGTGCAAAAGACAGAGAATGGTATGCTGATTACCAAGCTGAGGCAAAACTCAAAGGCAATGAGAACATGAAGCCGTTTGAAATATGGAAAGATGATGTAAGTTTAAGATTTAAAAAATATATAAACTTATTTTCCCACTTTTTCAGCAAAAACTGGACCATACTAAGAAATTTCTGGATCGTCATCCGATTGACCAATTGAGCGCCGCAATGTGGAGGAAAGCGGAGAAGGAAAAAGACGACAAAAGCAAGATGCAATTCATTGTAGACCAGATTGTGCGGTTTAAGGACAAAGAGCTCTACGATAGCGAATACTATCCGGAACTGACTGAAAAGGGATATGAAAATGTTGGGGAGTTCGAGGAGTGGAAGAAGGTGAAAAATAATAATACTTTTTGTATGTCAACATATAATTTATATATTTCAGAAAAAGTATATCAATACTTTCGCTGTGGTCGAAACTGAAATTGAATATGAGAAGCCAGACAATGTCGGGAAGGAATTGCTTCCAGGAGCCAGCAGTGAGGATAAGAAAAAAGCTCGACGTTAGGGATATCCTGTGCCCGGAAGTTCTGAGGGTGAAGCTCGAGATATAAAGATGAAATAGTCTATAGATTGCTCCTTTGTTCCCATTCCCTATACCCATATATTCTTTCTATCGTATGCAATGTATCGTATTTCTATCGTATGTATTTTGTCGTTTGTATTGTATTTGTTTGTAATAAATTTTTGTTTCGAATTGTTACCATATATTTTAGTATAAACTTCACTCGATAGATACCTTTTGTAAAAAATAAACGTAGGTAGTTGTAGATTTGTTCCCAAGATGTGGTTCAAATTTGTTCCCCCTTTAATAATCCTCTCCTCTTTGGAGGAGGATTAAAAAATAGTACTCACGGGAGTATTACTAAAGGAAATACTGTATTTGCTAATTCTCATAAAAAGAAGAGCTAACTTCCAAAGGTTAACTCCAAAGTTTTAACCAAGAAAAAACAATTTGTTGAAACAAAATATATTCCAGAAAAATTAAAAACAAAAAATAATAAAAAAGAAAAAAGAAAAAACAGCAAAAACAACCAAACTTTTTGGTCTTCAAAATTTTAATATTTTTGGAAGTATGTATAAAGTAATATGTATAAAAGAGAAAGGAAGGATGATAAACAAAGAAATAAATCAGGTAGTATGAGGAAAAAATAATATTAAATCCCTTAGATACACCCACGTGGCTAAAGAATCGTATCTAATAATGAGGTAATGTATATCTTAAATAATTATCGACGTCTCGTTGGAGGGGATAATTAAAACATGCCTTTCCTTGCTCTAGCCCCGAGTCAAAAATTGTCAAACAGATCTTTAAATTTTGATAAGCCAATGAGCATTTTTGGCAAAGTTATGAATTTTTAAAAATCGGTAAAATTTTTTTTATCGACACAAATAAAATGTGAAACAATAAAATAAATACTTCTGGATCCACAATGATCACTTATGGAGTTAGTTAAATCATACAAAAGAAATTTAAAAATAAATATGGTAATACAGTTAAAAAAATATACTAATTTATTTGAAAATTTATTTTTTCATTCCATCAATTTATTGTTTACGATCTGTGAATGATAAAAACAATCATCTACTAAAAATCCTAGACCTAAATAATTCATTTATGTGTAGTTTTCTAATGGTTCTCTACACTACCAATGCAGTTTTGTTTTTTAGCTTTTTAGCTAAAAATTTTGTGTACTAAATTTTAAACTAAATTTTGTTTTCAAAATAAAATAATAAAGTTATTCCAACAGCGAAGTGTTGGAATAACAAAAAAAATACTCTCGAATAACCTATGGGGCGTCGGCGAGGCGCTTGTGCAAAACCCCGCGCTTCGCGCGGGGTTTTGCGGCACGCGCCTCGCGGGGAGTCTACGATTACTGGGTTCTATACCGGTAACATAAACCTATTCCTTTTTACCAATTTTCAGCCTTGAAAAGCCTACCTATCCTTCGTAGTGACACAATTGCTTATAACTTTGTTCAGAGTTATCAAATAAGTCTAATTTTCAATCTGATACACTTTTACATACATGTATCATCTTCTATTTCTCTCAAAATTAAAAAAACATCCACTCATTGACGAAAAGTCGTTGACGGAAAGTCCATTGACGGAAAGTCCGTTGACGAAAATTCGTGCCACCTTAATTTTTGTGAAATAAATTTACATTAGATAAGTATTTATTTATCACAACATAAAAATACCAATTATATGTCACACACAGAAACAAATAATTACAATATGATATTAGATTAATTTTATATTAGATTCGATCTATCAAAATAATTCTTCTCTTTCTTTACACAAGTATCGTCCTAGCATGTTGTCGATGCTCATAGCAGCTCAGCCACGGCTACTAAAAAATCAAAAATTGTTTTATAAACAAGTCTCAATCCTTACCGTGATGAGCCTCCTTTTGCTTTTGCTCGTGTCTTACCAATCTCATCACGGACACTAAAAACGAAATTTTTTTCAATTTTTATGTAAAACGAAAAAGATTCACCGTCGGAGAACATCACGGGCACGACTAACATCCTTTTCGTTTACAGTCCCACTGCGGACAGCCAGCTCAAGAATAGTTTCAAGGAGAAGAAGAAACTGCGAACGGCGATTCAGAATATCGTAACGAGTACTTCTCAGACTTTTGCAGACCTTCACAACTCGGTTCAGGCTAAAAATAAAACAAATGGATCATCTTTACTAAACTTTCCGGACCTTAGCGTTCGAGTATGTTTACCAGACATTCGACGGCCAAAAATAGAAGCAGCTACATAAGTCCCAGCTCGATTCATACCAGCTCTACTGTGCACCAAAGTTGGATGCAACACCGATCGTTCACCAACTGACCCATGTTGAGCTCGTCGTTGACTTGCTGAATCGTTCTCGAGCGACCAAACAAAGTGTAGAAGATCAGACAAGTCCTTGTAGTTCATTGGACTGAACCGTGGGTCATCCTAGAAAATTAAGGGTTAACTACAGGTTTATCGGCCACTCAAAACTAAAATAAACACACCGTCCAGTTTCGACACACTACAAGCTGGATGACACGTTCATAACGTTTCTTTCCCTCCTTGCGTGATATTTTCAGGCGATAATACGTCCAACACCAGTTGACATCTGTGCCAACATCCAAGGTTGTGATTTCGAAGTTGTTGACCTTTAAAAATAAAGTTTTTGCAGAATTGAAGAACAAAACCGAACAAAAGTACTTAGAATAATTAAATTTAAATCCTCACTTTATATGTCTCGCCTCTGCTCCTGTTGAAGTAGTAGTCGCATTCGCTTTCGTGACCAAGGTTGACGAGGCAAACAGCAACGTACACATTGAACTCCCACAACATGCGCAACCTGATAAAAGAGAAAAGGTTATGTTTTATGTCCTTAATCTACCAATTGAATTGAGTATCGATACGAGGCTTTGATGGATTGACCAGCGGTGTTTGGGCGATGATGTAGTAACCTCCCTCTCCGCCAGATGTGATCACTTTACTGGCATGCACAAAATCGCTTACACCGGAACTGGGCAACAGACGAACAGCATCCTTGTCATATAGTGGAACGTTATCGTATTGGCTGCGCTGAAAACAAAAAAATTCATTCGATTATGAAATTAGCGATTTAGAGAAATTCTTCTTACATTCATGTTGTCGGCCTCGAAGAAACGCACAAAATGACGCTCGTTGGCTGAGATTTCTGTGTAGTCCTTTTCTATCTCGATATTGCGCATTTTTGCGAAAGCGACTAAGCTACGGCCCTTAACCCGACGTTGCGCGCTTTCATCGGATTCCATCTGGAGCAAACTAAAAAGAAAACATTTGAAGCAAAATAAAAAGTGGCAAATTGTATATTACCTGCCGGAGGGATTACAACAAGAAGCTAGAATAGACGAGCCAAGCGTGAGTTTGTATGAAGATGGTTGGTTAATAGGAGCTGGCATGCCTTTTATAGTACTGTAATAAGATAATTTTACAAATAAAGAACTAAAGGCAAAATAAAAAATGACAGATTGTTTTGTCCAAATGATTTTTAAAGATCCACCAAATCCTTTAAAAAATCCAGTACTCCTGACGAATTTATATTTAGAGGTCCAAATAACCGATATTTAACAAAAATTCAGAGTCGATAACCGGTTTTTTGAAATTAGGACCGGAAACCAGTTCCAAAATATGGTATGTTGGCGAAATGTGGATTTTAGTTACTGGCAAAATATGGATTTGGCAAAATATGGATATTTCGGAGCGGGACTAATAGGCGCGGCCGAATAGGCGCGGATCCGCGCCTATTCGGCGCGGATCCGCGCCTATAAAAAAATTTTATAAACCTATTCGGCGCGGATCCGCGCCTATAAAAAAATTAAAATGTTGATTTTTTTTATAAATTCGTGACATTTATTTAGTTACATATTTAAAAATTAATTATTTTAATGAATTCTACTAATATTGGAAATACTTCATGTATTTGTTCAGCCAATTCTCAATTGCTTGGCTCTTCCGAAAATCCACAACAGCTTATTCAACCGCCACGTACGCCAGCTACTTCTGGCTCAGAAGCGAATTATTTGGCTGACTCTTTGGGTGTTTCGCCATTATATCGCCAACAAGATTCACATGTAAATTTTCTATGTTTATTACTAGCTTAAAATTGATTAAAATTATTACAATTATTAGTTTTAGCTGTTATGTTAAAACTGAATTATTTTATTTTTGTAATTTTTATAAAATTTTAATCAAAATTTTCCAATTTAAGCGATGGCAATCAGCTGCCAAAATATACCAATCAAGTCGCAGTCAAGCGCATAGTCCGGCAACTACTGGGGCGCCTCTCAATCTTACGACGTTTGGCGATTCCCTTTCTTCAGAGGGAACTTTGTCTCAAAAAATCCGACAGTGTCGAAGCATTGGGTTTTTTAAAATTTTATCAAAAAAAGAAAATCATTTTTTAGTTCTCCAATTTTACTTGAAGATATTGCTACTCTTAATCGACAACTTCATTTGGAGGTGGAACGTGGTCAACGCCGTATTGCTTCAATGCATGGATCTTTAGAATTGGAGGCTTTAGCTGCTGTTCATGAATTGGCTACACATGTTTATTTTTTAAAAATTGTTTTTCTAATTATTTTTTAATTTAGGTTAAGCAAATTTCTGTCTCTGAAATTCTTCCTCGGACTGCTGACCTTATTTTTGTAAATATAAAAACATACAAAGGTTTTTTGTTATGCTTAAAACCTTTCATATTTTTATGACTCAAAGATCAGCCATACACTCTTGAACTTACAATGAAAGGATGGCGAATATGTTCATCACATTCTGATTGCATGAACGGTCTAATAAAAAATTTTTTTGAAAAATATTTTTAAGACGAAATTTTACTGATAATTTTTACAAAATTAAAGTAATAATATTTTTAACCTGTAATTAAAATATTTAAAGGTGATTATCACAATATTGCTCTGCATACGCGTTATTTTCAAAATGCAAAGGAAGTATTAGATGTTATTTCCCCTGAACATGACAAACATTTTAATGAATGTTTGGCTGAAAGACTTAAACAATTAGAACGGGAAGAAGAGGAGGAAGAGCGAAGGCAAAAATGTGTAAAAGAAAATGAAAAGGAAATATTTTCACAACAAATTAAAGGTTAATTTGATTTTAATACTTGAACTAGAAAAAAGAATTTTAGTAAGCAAACTTTAAATTAGGGTTGTCACCTTAAGGAGGAAAAAAGTGGAGTTTAAAGGGGTAAATAGTGATCCGTTTACTCACAGGTGGACGGGGACGTGTGACAACCCTATTTTAATTATATTTGAATTAAATTGTAATTAATTTGTAAAATTTATTTTTTTTGGCATTTTTAACGAAACATTTACTCTTAAATCTGTGCCTTTATTTTGTCAACTAGATTTCATTGCTGGCAATGATTATTCGTTTTATCTGTTAAAATTCTACTGATGGAGCAAGCTCCTAATGAGAAAATTTTTAGAATTTAATGTCCAGAACTTAAATGTTTACTCATGTCAGCACTAAATAATTTCCTTACATATTTGTACTAAATTCATATTTTTTTAATTAAAAATTTGTAGTTATTTTTATAAAAATATATTTTTTAGATTTGCCATATTTTTATTTGAACAATAAATTTTTTGAATAAAATTGTATTTTTTATTCTATAGCTAAAGTTGCTTCGATATTTAATTTGTTTTTTTTTCAAATTTTTTAGATTTAGTTCAAGTAAGAAATGCGCCTACAAAAGATTTCATCATTGATTTTGAGAAATAGGAGACTGTTGAGATTTTATGCTACTTACGGGAAATGGGAAAAGGATATGGATGATGTAAAGAATAACAAGGATGAGTTAGTTTTATTTAAATTTTAATTATTTTTTAGCCCATTCGAATACCTTTTGGAAAGTTAATTTTTCGGACCTTGAGGATTTGGTTAATTGTTTACAGAATAAATAATTGAAAATGGCTCAGAGGCTAGAATATACTTTACAAAATTAGTCCAACCAATTTATAGACCCTCAACCTTTTTCACAGCAGTCCTAATAAATAAAATATTTTAAACATTTTAGATTCCATTTCGAGCTTGGACGTTTTGGTGATGGTGATGTTGGCGCCTCTTCTCGAGTTAATCTTATTTCAAAAGATATGGAGGCTCAACAATTGGTTTTCTTTAAATATTTTTTTCAAATTAATAATTTTCTTTCTCAGACTTCTATAGCTACTGTCAGTTCTGTTGGTTTTCGTTTAGTCGATCAATCCTTTCTTTTTGGCCCTATAGCAGTTTTTCCTAAAACAACGCTTTCTTGGCGTGTTTTATCTCCTTCAGATATAACACCAGAATCTTTAGAATTATTTTTTATGTTACAACCAAAGGTTTGGTTATTCTTTTTTTTAATAGAAATAATTATCTTTAGTTGGATATCCTTTTAATTGGAGCAGGAAATAAATCCGACATTGACATTGTTAGGAGAAATGTTGGACCAGCAATTACTAAAGCGCGGATTGGATTTGAAATTCTGGACTCTGTTGGTTTTTTTAGATTTTTTAAATTTGTTTTGAAATTTCGGTCCTCGTAGTTTCTTTACTCCTTTTTATTCATTTGCCAGTTTTTTGAATTCTTGGCAATTAATATGTTTACCTCGCTGTTTGTCTTTCTCCCATAAATATAATAATATATCCATTATGTCATAAAATTACAGAACTATCTTCAAAGATATTGTGTAACCGAATATAATTTTTCTAAGGACCAGGATAAATTTTAAAACAAATTTTGTTTTTAGGAGGACGCTGCTACTACATTTAACTTGTTAAATTTCGAAGGACGGTATATAATCTTAAAATTTATGAATAATTTATATTTATTGTTAGTTGTGTTGCTGCTGCTCTATTTCCTCCAAGGGATTATTATGTTAATGACAAAGAGCATCAAGCTTTTATTAGAGATGTTCGGTTAGTTTTTGTACTTAAATTTAATTAAAAAGTCAATTTTGTCTTGTCTAATTTATCTATTTTGTCTATTTGTCTTTTGTCTATTTTGTTTGCCTTTGTTGCCAATTTTGTCTAAAAATTAAATATTTATTTTTTAGTGGAGGATTAGATGGAGCTACATTTGATGAAGTTACATTTGGCATTGGCTCTTTACTCGATTCATTAACAGCTGGTGAAGATAGACACGTTCGTGCTGCATGCTATAATATTTGGGGATTTCGTACAGCTAAAGCTGAAGTATTTTCTAGTTTTAACTTTTCTAATAATTATCTTTGAGGAAATGGTTCAAGTAATCCATAAGATGAGAGAAAATGTAAAACAAAAGTCAGATGCATTATTAGACGAAAAGAGAAAGGTTTTGCTTATTTTAATAAATTTAGTTATAATTAAATAAATTTAAGACGTCTGCAAAAGACCATAATCTTTTGCTTCAAGAAATCAAAGAAAGGAAGGAGGCAGAAAGGATTAAAAGATATCAGGAGAGGAGGTTTATTTAAATTTTGTTATTTTTGAAAAAAATTTTTTATTTAAGCAAAGTACCTCTTGTTGAACCTGGAGATGATTCTTCAACAAAATCTACAAAGGAATAATTTTTTATTTTGTCCCACATTATTTTATTAATACATAGTTTAAATATTTTATTTTTCTTTTATATTTTTTCGTTAGAGATTTTAAAAATCTTTAAATATTTGTTTCTCATGAGATTATTTTATAATAATTAAATTATTTCGATAATTACTTGAAAATGTCTGAAGTCGGATGTCCAGCGCACCCAAATGCTCGTTTGGTTGAGGACCATAGGGCAGGTGATTTAATTTGCACTCAATGTGGATTGGTTGTGGGAGAAAGGTTTTTCTAAATTTATATTTTAAATGATTACTTTTTAGATTAATTGATGTTGGTACTGAATGGCGATCTTTCAGCGATGAACGTTCTGGCAATGATCCGGTTAGCTTCTATTATGATCATTTAGGGGGTGTTTTAATGATTTTTTCGTGTAGTTAAATAAGTAACTACTTCATTTAAGGTGTTTAAATCGTGCCTCTATAGCTCAGTGGTAGAGCGTCAGTCTCGTAAACTGAAGGTCCGCGGTTCAATCCCGCGTGGGGGCATTTTTCGTTTTCCCTAACTAAATATTTAATAGAAATAAATAAATGCCCAAGCAGAAATAATAATTTTTAGTCTCGTGTTGGTGCTCCAGACAATCCATTGCTTTCTGGTGCTAATCTTTCAACTAGTATTGCAGTTGCTTTTGGTTCAGAAGGCGATAGAGCGTATAATAATAATAATTTTTATTAATAATTATTTTCTATTTAAAGTTTGGCAAATGCACAACGAAAATTAATTAGTTCTTCTGATCGTCAGATGACTCAAGCATTAATGTTGATAAGAGAAATGAGTGAAAAAATTAGTTTGCCAAGAAGTATTCAAGATAGAGCTGCTAAACGTTTCAAGGAAGTTCTTGAGTCTAAAGCATTGCGTGGAAAAAGCAACGAGGCCCAGGCTGCGGTTTGATTCACAAATTTCCATAAAATTCCATTTTTATAGGCTTGTTTATACATTGCTTGTCGCGAAGAAGGAGTGCCGCGTACATTTAAAGGTTAACTACTTTTATTAATTCTCTTGATTTTTTAAAAATTTTTTGAAGAAATTTGTGCCGTCTCAAAAGTTTCAAAAAAAGAAATTGGTCGTTGTTTCCGGTTAATTACCAAAACACTTGAAACAAATTTGGATTTAATTACGAGTGCTGATTTTATGGTTTTTTGTTTTATTTTTAAATAAATATATTTTCATTTTTAGTCACGTTTCTGTGGAAATTTAAGTTTGCCATATCCTGTTCAAGTAGCGGCTACAAGAGTTGCTAAAAAGGCTGTAGAATTAGATTTGGTTGCCGGGTAGGAATTTTTTAAAAATAATTTTTAAAAAATAAAATTCTCTCTTTAGTCGAAGTCCAATTTCAATTGCTGCTGCCGCTATTTATATGGCTTCACAAGCTAGTGCTGAAAAACGAACAGCTAAAGGTTTGTTTCATTTATTTTTGAGATTTTTTGAATAAATTTTGAATAAATTATTTTTAGAAATTGGAGAAATTGCCGGTGTTGCTGAAGATACAATTAGGCAAACTTATCGCCTTTTATTGCCAAAAGCAGCAGAATTATTCCCAGCTGAATTTCGTTTTGATACACCCGTTGATCATTTGCCACGCGGTTAGAAAGGTGTTTAAACTTTTAAAATTATGTGATGATAGTAATTTTTGAAATTTATTTAAAAAAAAGAATGGTTTATGAAGGGGAGTAAATTTTGAAATTTAAATTGTAAAATTATACATTAATTTTTTTAACAGATATACACCTATTTTAGACAATTCTATGGTTGTAAATTAACTTTTAGTGCTGGATATTTTTCTTTAGGATTCTGTAATTAAATATAATTCCGAATGGAACAAAAGGAAAGAAAAGTTAACTAAATAAAAACTATCTGAATTAAGAAAACCCCCCTCTAAAATAACCAGCACACATTTATTCTCTCATTTCACATTTAAAATATTCCTTTTGTGTCTTGGTAAAGCTTTTAAATTAAATTTTTATTCTTTATTAAAAAATTATTTAAATTAATTTTGAATGAGATTTAAAACAAAAAAATTAAAAAATATTCCTTTTTTAATAATTTAAAAAATTTAACCAGGCCCCACAACCGATATTACCAATTTACTGCTTGATTTTCTTTGTAATTTATAACTATTTATTGAATTTTTTCTTTTGGCATTAGCAGAGAATGGGCGGTGATTGGATGGAGAGAAAATTTGCTAAAAATTTTAATTTAAAATTTTTTTAAATTTTTCCCTTTAACCTTTTTGATTGTCTCTAACAATAAATTAATATTTGAGAGAGCACATAGCATAGAAGGGACAACAAATAAACCGTGAATTAAACCTAAAGAGACAACGAGGAACATTGACTTGACAAAAACCTTTAAAAAATTTTTTTTGAAAATTTAAAGAGGGAGAAGCTTACTTCACTCATATAAGTGTCTACAAAAAGTAGACAAAGTACAAAAAGTATTGTACTCATTCCACATTGCAAAAGTGGGAATCCTATAGCTAATAATGAAGCATGAACTTTAAAAAATAAATTTAAAAATTATTTTCCTTTTTTATTTGAGAACCTCTTTGTTCTGGACTTAGCATTCGACCATCATCAAATTTAGAACATCTATAGTAATGATAAGTAACATGGGCGGGGAAGTCAACAGAAAACCCGATTGACATTCTAATTAAATATTTTTTATCAAATTTTTCTTTAAAAATTATTTTTACATTGTTGTGGCCATTGAAATAGGATCTAAATCAATTCCCCACAAAACTAATAATCCAAATGCTCCCAAGCAAATTGATACAATACATATTGTGGCAATTGCAACAGTGAATATATTTGACATAAAAACAGAGCATACAATCGACATACAAAGCCTTATTGTTTAAAATAAATTAAAAGAATTTTTGGTAATTTTTATGGTAATGTATAAAGAAGTAACACTAACAAGTTAAAGAGCTGCGATTTTTCCCACTTACAAATTAATTTAAAGTCAGGCTAATATAGGATTCATATTTTTCTTCCCTCCATAATTCCGAGGGAAGAGAATACTTTTTTTCATTTTTAGATACTACCCCTTGGGCTTGCAATATTCGTTTATTATACTAGGTTGTGAGCAATTTCCCCACATAGTGGTCAACTAACTTAAAAAATTTTTTCCCACTTAATTTAAGTTTGATCTAAAAACTGTGATCTTAAATCGAGGGGTTCCTAATTTTGGTGATATATAAAAATAAAATTGTCAATACTTACAAAGTAGCAATAGAGGATTGTACAGTAGCCGGCACTAACGTCTCAATCTGATCTAAAAACTGTGATTCTTCTACCCAAACAAAAGCTCCAATATCCGTATAATTATCAACTATTTGTCTCCATCTCCCAAGTAAATTAGCTCGACTATTCCATTCAACTAAAGCAGGCCCGTGAAAGGCTGTAATTACAAAAAAACTTTCCAAATGCCCATTTTTATTAAAACGTAAAAATCCATTCCAATGCCGATATTCTGGCCATCCTAGAAATGAAGACATTTGTGAATGTCTAAAAGAAGGCTGTTTTGAAGTTTGATTTTTTGTTTGATTATTTTCTTCAATTTCTTCATCATTTTCTTCCTCAGCTATTTCACTAGCCAAATATCTTTCATAATCTCTTAGCCAAAAATGAGTAAAAGGAGCCCCCATATTATTCGGCTCTTTTTCAAATGTTTCAATTAAAGATTGAATTCTCTCCATTTTTGAATGATTTCGTAAATCTCCAACTTTCTCAATAAATATTGAGACAGGCATGTAACTGGGCATAATATATTCGTCTTTTAAAGCTATTATCTGCACACTTTTGAAGAATGAAAATTATTAGATTTTTTTATTTGAATTTCCTTTAAATTTAATTTTTAAGGTATTTCAAGGATATCCTGAAGATAACTAAATAAACTATTAATAGCATAACTAATCAACTGTTTTAATTTAAATTTTTTCACTTAACCCCAGGATAAAAAATATTTTAGTTAGGAAAAAAGTTCCTTTTCTTGCCTCATTGAGTGGAGAATCAGCCAAAAATAATTTTCTCGGTGTTATATTAGGTATTGCTCTAGAAGCCCATTTTGCCGAAAGTCCCCAAAATATTAAAAGCGTTGTAGCAACTAAAGTAGCAGTAAATCCACTAGAAATCCAGCGACAATATGCCCGTAAGAATTGTGCAAGTTTTTGACTAATTTTTAAGAAAAAACGTCTTTGGACTGGCAAAGTATGTCGACAACGCTTTTTAGCATTTTCTTTCATTTCCCATTTTGCAGAAATTGCCAAAAATGGAGTGAATAAGAATAACTAAAATAAAAACAATAATTTTGAAATTAAGTTAAAACGTTTATTAGATTTAATGAGTAATCCTTTCCAAAAATTTTAATTTTTAGGGTATTTTATTATACTTTCCCTTTTCCACGTATACTGAATCGGCAAATACTGAAACCGATAAATTTCAGATTAGCTTTTTGAATCATTTAATCTCTAAAGATATAAAGAAAAAGCTAATACATAGCGGGAAAAAGCACAAAAGATTGATTATTAACTTAGGGGGACGAATCCAAAGTTTTTGTCCAGAGGCACGAATCCAAGGGGGACGAATCCAAGCGCAGCCCAAAACAGAGGAATAAAAAATTATTTTCTTTAAAATTTAAATTCTCTAATATTTACTTGATAAATATAATCAACAAAAATAGCCGAAGCATTTCCAGCACAAAAAAGTTGTATTTCTGGTGTCGGCGTAAATATCCCAACACAGAAAGCTAAAAAATTAGTAGCAGAAGTAATTGTAACAGAAGGCCCAACATCCTCCAACATTTGTCCCAACCTTTTACAAATTATTTTTTCTAATTTTTCTTCCAATTCTATTAAATTATTATTTTCTTCTTTTTCTTCCTCATTTAATTGTTCTGCTAAAGAACATATTCTTTGCCAACTTTGCAACATTAAAAAAGCATCATCTACCCCAATAGCCAAAACAAGGAATGGGGAAACACACAAAATTGTTCCAAAACGTACACCAAACCAAAATAATCTTTTTAAATTAAATTTTAATTAAATTATTTAAAAAAAATATTTAATATTTATCAAGAATTCTCCCTCAAACTTTAGTGTCATAAAATCATTTCCTTTAATATAATTTACCAAGATTAAAGTTGTTATAATGGGTCGACTCGAAAGATTAAAAAAATTCTATTTGATTTAAACACGGCAACCCTGAGATTCTGGTTACTAGGCAGGGGTGGGTTTAGTCACGTATAACGTATCTCGTGAAATCTTGTGTTTTTTAGAGATCTTGTATCTTGTTTTATCTCGTTCTTGTATTTTTTTTTGAGAATCTCGTATCTCGTATTTTGTGGGACGAGGCACACCCCTGTTACTAAGTCTGTCCTCAGTCCTTAAAGTAAACACCCTAATCAACAAAGATTCGTAAGTAATTTTAAAAATACTAACAGGCCTAAAGCAGTAGCACAAGCAAATAATGGACAACAACAAGCAATTACTGCCATTATTACCTTTAAAAGAATGGAATTAAATAATTTATTTATTTTTGAGCACCTTTTGACGAGAAAATTGTCTAAAATGAAGTCCACTTAAAGCAACAGTTCCAATTGAAAATCCACACATAATAACAAAACCAACAGAAAGAAAAGGGAAAAGTGTCATTCCTGTTCTGACAACTTCATCAGCTACAAACCCCATCGAGAAAACTAAAGGTCGTAAATCACCTTTATATTCACTAAAATTAATTTTTTATTTAAATAGAAAAATTTATGATAAAATAATTAAAAAAAAGTTTTGGCATTTATGTCTAATCCCGTCAAACTATGAACCTCGTTTTCTTGTTTTTAATACAATTCTTAGAAATAATATTTTTTGAACTTTTGAAGGTGAAATATTTTGCTACAGTGTACACTCTTATTAATGAAAAAATCATGCACTAAAATTAGTTGTGTTCATGTGTATGTATCACTTAGGCATCTACACACAATCAGTAGCCAATTAAAGTTAAAAAATATAAACTAAACTGAATTTGTATTAAACTGTGCTATTTCGACTGTATTTAGAAAAAATGCTTTTTAAACCACACATTTTTCCTTTTTTTAATTTTTAGGTTAATATTCAAATAAAAATTTAAATTAAAAAATATTTTCTTTTTAAAAATACCTATGTAAATAATTAACAATTTTCCTTTCCCAGCTAAGTACATCAAAAGAATTAACGTTTTCTGGTTTATCTGCTTTAAATTGTAAAAGAGCCAAACGAAGATATTTTAATTCTCCTTCATTTTTATCAATTTCAGCACCAAAAAAATGTGGACTTAAATCGACTTGGTGACCAAAAAGGGACATAAATGGAAATGAAAGATTTAAATAAATCCCATCTTTTATTTCTCCACCACCATCCTTTAATGCTTCTAAATGACGTTTACGTACTGAAAGTCCATTCTACAGAAAAAAACAAAAATATTTATAATTAATTATTATTTTATTGTTAAAATTTAATGTAATTATTACAACATATAAAATGGAACATTGTACTAAGGATTCTTTTTAAAAAATTCCAAGGATCACTATAAGTAAATATTAGTAATTACAATAGACTCCTGATCTTCTGTCATCAGGGGCCTAATACTTGTAAAGGGATAAACAAGAATACGCCCTAGTAATGGGCCCTCAGTTAAACATGCCAACACTAGGCATTATAATGATGGTTATTTTAATTAAAGGGCATGATAGCCGGAATGACTTTAAGTTAAAAATATCGCACTTTTTAATTAAAATAAAAAATTAAATTTACAGAAAATTGTCTAATAGGTTCATTCATTTGGCAAAAATGAGTACAAAATTGATTAAATGGACGTCCACCAAGCGGAAAATCATTAGCTAATGTATCTAATAATTGTACTGTTTGTTCCATTAAGGAATCACGTAAAAGGCTTCCATTATCTCTAGCGATGATGAAAACTAACTAAAATTAGTTTAACTAAAATAAAAGAGTTATGATTAAATTAGCTAAAGAATTCATTAGCGAAAATCGAAGTTTCGAAATTTAATTTGGGTATTTCATACTAAATTGTGAATCAAGAATAATAAACTATCTGTCCCAATAAAACCTCTGCTATTTTACAAAAATTATTTCGAGTCGCTACTAACGAGAGCTGTCTGGATAGAATATTTTATTAATACCAAAGTAATAGGCTCCTCAGCTATTAATGTTTTTCCAAGTTCTGGTCTAAAGAATTGTTCATATCTCGCCAATTCTTCTCTCGATCTTGCTCCTAAAGGTGTATAACCACTTTTAAGGTCATCCTGTTGAGGAGTGAAAGGGATACTTGATGAACAGATAAAAGTTAAAATAAGGAGTGAAATAACTAATAAATGTCGTTTTTGAGCTATCCACCCTCCAATATAACGAAAAATACGTGCAAGTCTTTAAATGGGAATAATTATTTAAATAATTTAAAAAATGAATATGTAGAAATTTGGAGGATCCATTTAAAAAATCTTGACTATTCCCTACCTTTATTCACATAATAAAAATACCCCTAGGATTTCATCATAAAATATCATCATTGATAAAAATCAGTGAGATTAAGCAAATTATGAAAGGTTGATATGGTATGGAAATATTTATAGAAAAATTGAAGGAAGTGAGGTAAAGAATCCTTATAAAAAATTTCGAATACTATTTCATATGAGTGAATTTCATTTTTTGGAATCTTGGAATATTATTGTTATTTAATGTTATTTACTTTTATGTATCTCCACCCTCTATTAATTAAATAAACGAACAATCTATCAACAGGGGAAGATGCCAATTCCACACCAGATTGAACACCAAACAATCCAATTCCAATACGTAAAACAGATTTATCTGCTACAGAAGCAGCTCTTTCCCTTTCCCTTTCCTCCTCTTCAACATCTCCCTCATCCCCTTCCCTCCCTCTTTGATTATCTCCAGAAATACTTTCTTCAGCAAATCCACTACTACCAGTTGAAGATATACTTCTACCTATTGATGAACCATTTTCATCATTTAAGTTTGGAGGTGGAGGGATGTCATTGTTAATTTCTTGGTTATTATTAGCCATCTAAATATGGAAAAATTAAATTTACTTTGTAAATTTTAACATAAAAATTATTTACGTAATTTTTGAAATAAATTTAATTTAAATTAAAATTAAATTATTATATTAGAAAATAAAAATAGAAAAGAAAAATTATTTTTAGATACAAGTTCAAAAATAAAATTAGGTATATATTTAATTATATGTAAAATATAAATAGGTATATATTTAATTAAATAAAAATAATTCTTTTATCTAAAAATATCAAGTATAAAAAATATCAATTATTTTATTGCTAATTAAATTTAAATATACATGGTATATTTAAATTAATTAATTTTCTCAAAATATTTCTATTTTTCTCCTTTTAATTTTTAATATCCAATTAGCGCTGTCAATTGAGTTTTTAATTGTTTTTTAAGGAAAAAGGTAAATATTGAAAACAAAAATATATAAAAAATTTATTTTATCAAAAAATAAAAACAATCTAAAAGCTCAAGGACAACCTAAAAAATTGCGTAAAGGAAGGAGTGGACAGCCTAAGGCTAAAATTTAATTTATTGCTTATTTGACCACACCCTGCTCGAACCACGAAAATATATACCTAATTAGTGAACTGTTGATTTAATTAAGAAATTGCAAAATAAGCTAGAGTATTTTGGTTATTAGTTTTAGTATACCGTATTCCCTCTAAAATTTCTATTTTTATTTATTTTTTTCGATCGACCTCTAGAAAGGGGGTTATGTTAGAGGAGGAAATACACTGTGTTACAAAAGTATACGCGCACCTAATTTTTCGAGTTTTCTGTCATTAATATTTATGTCAATATCTTCTAGATTTTTTATAATATATAAATTAACTAAACAAGAAGATTTATAGACAATTTACCGAAAAAATTCAGAAATTTATTTTTATTTTTAATTTTTTTCCAAAATAGGGTGTTACATAAGTATACGCGCACTTATTTAACTAAAGATTTTCGACATTAGGGATGGTTCGAAAAATCCACAAAAATTCCAGTGAACATATCAAGTGTTATACAAAGTAAATTCAAAAGAAATGAAGTTCCAGTCAAGTTCCATCATCGAGATTTAAAAACCCGAAAATCAACGTAAAACCGGGGTAAACGTCTTTAAAAAATATTTTCGACCCCTTATAGGATGTATTAAATTTTTATTTTATACTTTTCTTAAAGCCCATTAAATTTGCTTCAAGAAATTTTTAAAAGTATTATACACAAAAAATTGACATTCGAGATAATCAGTGTTAAATTCGCTAAACCTAAAAATCATTGAATTTACCCCCATATTTATTACTTCAAAATTTCAATGCTTTACAACTCAATGAAAGATTTTTTACGAAAAATGAATATCAGATATATTATAGCAAATTTAATGGGCTTTAAGAAAAGTATAAAATAAAAATTTAATACATCCTATAAGGGGTCGAAAATATTTTTTAAAGACGTTTACCCCGGTTTTACGTTGATTTTCGGGTTTTTAAATCTCGATGATGGAACTTGACTGGAACTTCATTTCTTTTGAATTTACTTTGGATAACACTTGATATGTTCACTGGAATTTTTGTGGATTTTTCGAACCATCCCTAATGTCGAAAATCTTTAGTTAAATAAGTGCGCGTATACTTATGTAACACCCTATTTTGGAAAAAAATTAAAAATAAAAATAAATTTCTGAATTTTTTCGGTAAATTGTCTATAAATCTTCTTGTTTAGTTAATTTATATATTATAAAAAATCTAGAAGATATTGACATAAATATTAATGACAGAAAACTCGAAAAATTAGGTGCGCGTATACTTTTGTAACACAGTGTACGGTATTTGTTTATTAATAAAATAAAAATGAATAGGTACATATAAATATATTTAAGTTTATTTGAGATTGAAAAAGAATTAAAGGTGAAAATAATGAGATCTAAGAGCAAATAAGTGAAATTGATAATAAAATTGAAATTTATGAAAATTAAATAGAAAATAAATATATAATAGCTAAAAATATTTAAAATTAAAATTTTGAAAAATAAAAAGTCACAAAAAAATTTATTTTAGTTTTTAAAAAATAATTTATTTTTAAATTAGTAGAAATCAATTTGTTTGTAAAAATAACATTAAAAACAAACAAATATATTTTAAATTAAATAAATTAATTATTTTACCGCTCAGCTAATTTACTAGTTTGGAGAGCTAAACACAGAAAATATTTTTTTACAAATATACATATGACCTAAATTCCGTAATTTTTTAGTGTATTTGTGTATCTCTCTTCTCCTTTTTTAATTTTTTTTCAATAAAATGGGAAGTTGAGATAAATTTAAAATTTATTTTTCAAAAAAATTTTTTTGTCCATAAAAATTAAATAATTGTTTAGATAAATAAAAAACTAGTACTTATCGGTTATACGCCCGCAAACTGAGTGCCAGCCGAATTTGATCTTTTCGATGTTTGATCCAATTCAAATAAAGCTTCTATCATTCGAAAGCCCTCGATAAGCGGTATATCTTTTCTCACTTAATGGATCAGGTCTGAGTGACCAAATAACTTTACAAATTTAATATTAATTCTCACAAATTTAAAAATCCAACTATCCTTTGCATAAATACACCTCACTTAAAAAATAATTTAAATATTATTTATGTGCTTTAGAACAAAATTTTTTTCCAATTTTTAAAATTAATTGTTCTTACATTTTAATCTTTATTCTTTAATCTATTTTTGACTTCAAAATTTTTCTGAAAATAATTTAATTATTTATTTATTTTAATTGAAAATAATATAATTTTTTAATAATCAGAGATTAATAAAACAATGAAAAATTTATAGACAAATTATAAGAAGAAAAAATGAATTATTTGTTTGAAACAAAATGAACAAATAATTAAATTAAAATATTTATTACGTATTAATAGGGTTGCCTGCCCGGTTCGGCCCTAAAAACTCGAAAGGCCCGGTTTGATAAAAACGAGGCCCGAAAAAATGACTCGAACGTCGGCCTATTTTATTAGAAAACAATCAAATCATCATCAAGAATAAAAATCTAACTTTTGATTTAAATTAGCACCCGACTCCCTTGGTTTGAATTTAGACAATCATAAAACGGGTCAAACAAAATTATTGGATAATTTTAAACAAAGTATTGGAGGTGTATTTTTCTAAATAAATAATTTTTCTATATTTTTATAAATTAATTCTGGAATGGAAAAACGATCTTTATTGGAATTTCCTTTTGGTATTTCATGTGGAATTTCCTTCAAAATATCTAAGAATATGTAGAAGAAAAACTCGGCCGGCATATTTCTACCACGAAATATTTTCAAATCCAATTCCTTAAAAATATTGGTTTTTAACTATTAAATAATTAATAAAAAAATAATAAAGATAAAACATTAAAAAGTTGTGTTGATTATTTGTGAGATATTAGTAGAGAGTTTTCTATATAAAAGAGAAAATAAATTAAATATAAATATATGTAAATTCTGGTTTTGGTTAAAAAAGTTTTGTTAAATAAATAAATATTTATTTTTTATCCTATTTAGATTAATGTTTTTGGGATTAAATAAAAAAAAGTTTTGTTTATTTTTGTACAAATAAAAGTAACAAAATAGCATATATTTGTGTACAAAAACAAATAAATATTTTATTTACAAAAATTGCAACTAAAGAAGTACAAAATTCTTTATATTTTTTAGCTTAAATTTTTGATTGTCAACTTAATCCACACTAAAGAGGAAAATCCTTTTTTTGATAAATTTTAGGAAGAGGTATTATGTTTTCTAATTTTTGTGGAGAGTTATTGAATTGTAGAAGTAACAAAGTTTTGGAATATTAGAGCCAAACAAAACACGACCACAGACTGTGTCGAAATTCAACCTTTACTTAATTATCATTTTTAATTAATAATTTCTGTAAAAAGTCTGTTTGTTCGAGATCTAATCTTGTTTGACCCGTTTCATGCACAACGGCAACAAACTTCTATCGAGCTTAACCGTAATTGGTCACTACATGTACATAAAGAGTAGAGAAATCTGAAGCAGGATCACTAGCACTAACACATAGATTGGCATTTTACTTAAGTTTTAATACTAACAATAAGCTGTTAATGGGCTTTACCCGTACACTAACTACAACATTGTATTGAGAAAATATTTTTTCTAAAAATTATCTTAAAGTGACGAAAAATGTTTTGATGATCTGACAAAAACAGAATTTTTTCTCAAAATAATTCTTCCCAAAAAAATAAAAAAATATATTTTTTTGTTAAATAATTAACAATACATTTTATATATGTTTATATATTTTTAAAATATTTTTGAGATCTGTTACACACACAAATATAAATATTTTTTAATTTCTCGTCATCTTCTTTTTCCTTTATTTTTTTTTTTGTAATTTCTATTTTTTATCGCCTTCTTGCAAAATCAGTAAAATAGGGACGATCAAACATAGCAAATGGAGTTTTTCTTTCAGGTAATTGATACGTCCTCTGAAAAAATTTTTTTAATTAAAAAATATTTTTTTATTTAAATATTAATTTAATTTATAGAAAATATAAAAATAACTTTTTATTAATTAAATTGCATATTTATTTAATACAAAAAATATTATATACATGCTAATTAAATTTTCTCATATAAATCTTGTATTTAGGATAGCCAGCAATTATTTAGTTAATTGTTAGAGTTTGTATTTTATAGTAAAAAGGGTTTGGAGTTTGTTACGTAAATTATAATTGTTTAAAAATTTGAATAAATTTTTTAATAATGAGGAAGAATTGGGGAAATTAGAATTGTGAACGTAAGGTGAACGTGAAATAATTTCTGAACCAAAAGATTTACCTAAGGTTCTTAAAAAAAATTTTTTATATTTTTCCTTTAATTTTTATCAAATTTTTTTACACAAAAAATTTACTCAATTTCCCACCTTTAATAAGAAAAGAGGTTCAGCGCTCAATATTTCTTGAGTATCCAATGAAGAATGAAATCCTGGACGAAAGTTTCCTCTTCCA